CGGCCGGACTCGCGGCCGGTCGCACGGCCAATTTCCAATTCAATGTTCAAGTAATATCTCTCAAACTAATGAACTTAACTTGATGAAACTTGGTACACGTATTCATTAGGACCTAACGGTAATGTTAAGCTCGTGAATTTTTTTATGAATTTTGCCTTCATTTGTTTTTGCCATAGTTATATGGCAATACGGGCCGAAATTCACAGTACCGGGTAATCAAGAATTTTTTTCCAAACTATTGAGCAGATTTGAACGAAATTTTGAACTTACAGTCCTTACTACCGAACGTTAATGTTTAGCTCTTAAAAATGTATTCGATTGTGACTTTGTTCGCAAGTTTTTTTTTTCATTTCACCTTCATTCGTGATTTAAACAGCAATACGTGCTTAAATTGGCAGTAATCAAAAAATTAATCCAAAACTACTGAATGGATTTGAACAAAACTTAGTATTTAAATACCTAACCTCAGCAATGGTGATGTTTAGCTTGCTACAATTTTTCCGTTTTGCCTTCGTTTGCTCTTGGTTAAACCGGCCGGTAGAAAAGCCGGTCGTTCCTCCTATATCTGTATAACTCGCGAACGAAAACAAAATAGAAGAATTGTCGCAAGCTAAACATCATCGTTGAGAGGTTAGGTATTAATATACAAAGTTTCGTTGAAATCTGTTCAGTAGTTTAGAAGAAATTTCTTGATCGCCGCGAATTTAAGAGACAAATTATCCGGCGATGCGGGCCGAATATAAGAAAGCGTGAAATCAAGAATGACTGTGAAATGAAAAAAAAACTCGCAAACGAAGGTAAAATCGAAAATTTTTATAAGCCAAAAAAAAATCAACGCTTGGTAGTTAGGAATGTATATTCAAAATTTCGTTCAAATCTGTTCAGTAGTTTGGAAGAAATTCTTTGATCACTGCGAATTTCGGCCTTTATCGCAATATAACTCATGAATGAAGGTGAAATTTTAACTTTTTTACGAGCTAAAAATCAACGTTAGGTTCTGATGAATATATGTTCCAAGTTTCCTTGAGCTGCGTTCATTAGTTTGGGAGATATTACTTGATAATTGAATTTGGAGATTGATCGTGCGACTGCCACGAGTCCGGCCGTGAATTTGCCCGAGACGTCCTAGGTTTCTAGTGCTGAAACAGTTAAAACAGCTTAAAAACATATTGGTTCACTATATGGGGTTCTATTTGTGAAATAAACATTTGTGTTTAACATTTATCTATTAAAATTGCAGCGTGCTAAATTTCAAGAAAGAGGCATATGTTTTTATATGTGTTAGCGGGGGGCGCTAAAAGCTCACTAGGGAGCCAAAGGGGGCGCCAGCCTGAAAAAGTTTGGGAACCACTGCTATAGAGCAATAGGTATTTATTTCTATCGCAGGACAATGATAATACATACCAGTACTTATATTCAAAATTTCAAGCTGATCCCTTCAGTATTAAAGGAGGTATGAGTGTGTTTGGTTGGGAGAAAAGTTAGGTTGTTCATCTGAGTCAGCAGACGTGTTTGCAGTGGCATGCGGGTTCAAAGGAGTGTCGATTCGGTCCTAAGCCATTGAACTGACACGTGCATTGATAGCCGCTATGTGTCCCAGTTTTTGGTCAATATAACCTTAGCAAAATTGAGCATTAAAATCACAAAACCTCTTGCTAACTTTTTTAAGTGCTGGTCCTAGAAATTCCACAACCATTTTAAGTGCTGGTCCTATAAATTCCGCTACAGTTTTAAATGTTTTTTTTTTTTTGTTATTAACCTATCATTAATTTTTGCAGCGTATTTATCTATTGATAAAATTAATTGTCTGTCTAATTAGTTCATGCATCCAATGATGAATTTTAAATACTCATACCCAAATTTCTGTGATTGAAATCCTGATACGTTATTGCTATTAAATTTTAATACAATTTTACAATTAATTTTAATACAATTTTATTTTCGCTCCTATCATATGATGCTCATTTATGCCAGCTGCAGCTGTAGAATTAAATTAAAATAAATACAAATAATTCAAAATTACAATTTATTGAATTAAATGTAATTATTTAATACACGAAATGGTACCATGCTGTCAATTTAAATTATATTTTAAAAATGTTTAGTTAGAAATTTGATTAGAAAATTCAAATTAGAAATCAAATTTTATTAAAATAACTTAAATTATTTAATACAACTCATGGTACATGCCCAGGGCGCAGAGGGTGGATGCAGTGTCACCAATATATGGGTTTTTAAGTCCTAAGCGTTGCCGGGTAAATTTAAGATGCGCCGCTGGGTAATTTTTAATGAAAAGCCATTTACGCTGAGTAATGAAAAACTATTTACAAGCCACAAACTTATTTACAAGGTTGCACGCACGTGTTACCCCAAATAACTAATTTTACCCTAAAAACAGTCCGATTGTACAGCAAGTGTCAACTGAACATGGGAAAATGCAGTCTGACCGCTCTAATGTGACCGCAACTACGTAATTGTAAGCTTGATCTTTACATTTTTTGAGTGGGAACTCATCGCAACTGATTTCTGGACAAGCTTCACTGCATCCTGATCCATCCAGCATATCGGAAACCTTACTTTTTTTAAATAGTTGGCAAAGACTGACAAATATATTAAATGCAAGAATTTCAATCTAAATGTGTCAGCAAGATCTTCATCTTCTGAAGGCGTAAATTTTGCTACTGAAGCATTGCCAAAGATCTTGCAATATTCATTCACTCTCTGCACAGTGGGTACATGCCTAAGCTCTGAATGATCATATATTGAAATAATTTCCACTTCAACAACAAACATTTTCTAAAAGACACAAGACGTTCGAAAACTCACGATGGGAGACGAAATCATTTAGAATCTGAAGTGAAGTTAATTATATAGACAATATCGACAAAATAAGGCAAAAACATGAAAAAATGTAAGTCTGGACGCGTATCAATGGGTGCTTATAATTTGAAACAACTTTCCATCATTTAAATGTCAGTATGGAATGTGGATCAAGTCTATTTATTGTGAAATCAAACTTGACATGACCAAAAGATATGCGCATGATGCCGCCATGTCAGATGATTGATTTGATTGTAGAAGCACGATGTGAATGTACGCCTTGGAAGAGTTAAAGTTCATCTCATACTTTTGTGTGATATCAATAACTTTGTTGGTATTGTGATCCCATGATTGGACAATAGTATTGTCCAATCGTGAGAATTTTTTACAAATGTGGATGTGTTTTTTTTATTTTAGAGCATATTCATTGCAAATATTTGTCCACTAGCCTTCAGAATACAGATAAACAACTAGTTAACTCGGCTGAGGCGTTGGCAACACGGGATTGGATTTCAAACGACGCACAATTTCAGAAGCGTGGCAGACTTTCTAATGAGCTCAGTGTATCAATTTTCACTGCAGTGAAGGGTGGTGTAACGTGGTAGGGTTGGTTTTTTGATACGTTTTCTTATATTAAAATGAGAATATATTACCTAGTAGGGTAAACACGGTATATTCTGTCACATTAAGGACGCATCGAGAAATGAAAAACTATAAAAAATAACCGTATGCGTTACTCCAAGTTCTGTTTGCTTTATGTGACTCAAAACACCGCACTACGTGTCAGCAACAACGAAACGTCACAAAATGTTGCCATATTTATTTAAAAGCCTTTAGAATGGAAACCTACCAAATCCCTATATTCCATCACTGTGTGTGGCAATATTCAGCACGTGGTGAGGCGTATTCTGTCCGCGCTTCAAATTCTACTGAAACGTAATGCCGTCATCCACGTGTTCGAATTCCGTTTGCTGTGTGAGCTGTATTGGAATACAACACGGCTTTGAATTAGAACACTAATGAATATTGAACACTACTTAATTACGCTTTTAATTAACAACTATTAAGCTTTTAATTAAGCAAATTTTAATTTTTGTACACAGCTTGGAACGATCTGTGTGTGTCCAATTCAAGTTGTGATGGAATTAGTTTTCATGTGTCTAAATCCATTTCTCAACTTAATCATCTATTAATTTATTTAAGACTTGAAATCAGCGAATACAAGTATACTTAAAGGAGTCCTAATATATTCGCAGATGTATTTAAAAGTCTCAAACCATAATATTCTTCCTATAAAAACAGTTATTCACTATTTGGTAGAGCAAGGTCAACTGTCAAAGTTGACACATTTTTCGATGATCTCACAAGGTGGCATGCATTGTCTCTCTTTGGATCTCAATATTTTCCCACTACATGGCCAAGACCTAGTGTTTTGGCAGTATTTTGACACGTAAATGTATGACGTCACCATTTCAACCATCAACAAACGCATGGAACTAAAACAAAACTTAATATAAAGGAAAATCTGGAGAGGTGACGGAATTACCCACAATGACGGAATATACCGGCATAATAATACCACGTTTAGTCGTTTACCCTATACACTAGTATACAGAATTCCACACTGAGGGAGAGTCTAAAAAAACTCTTTGCTTTGCAGTTTGCCAGTTGCCACAATGTTAAAGAAATTGGTTTAAGTATTGAGAAAAATCAGGAAATTAAAAATGAACTGATTCTAAAAAATCTCTGGAGTCTGGTTTGTCACTAGCTCAACACTTGGTAGGTATGCAGCTACAGGCCTACAGCCAACAACAAGAATCCATTATTTTAAGTTTTTAACTTGGTGCCCACTGCCCATCACTGCCCAATGCCCAGTGCCCAAAATTAGAATACCTATGTGCCGCGACGGCGGGCGCGACCAGACGACCTAACAATGAATTATACAATGACACTGATTTTACATGTAACAGGCTAAAACTAAAGGCCTAAAAAAAATTTCCAAAACTAGAAATTAAGTGTTGAAGTAGTCCTATAATCCTATTCATATCCTAGTCTAAAGACTCTAAGTATTGCACCAGTTATGATCTAGGTATTTATGATACCTAGATCATATTTAACATATCATCTATCGTGCACCAGTTTCAGACAATCAGTTAATAAAATTTACATGCGTAACTCACATAATGATGACCGTTTAAAGTATTCGTTTGATTTGTGATCCACGTAACCAAAATAAACGATTTTCTAGGACTAGGAAAACGAAGAAACTACACACAACGTAGGCTACACTCAGACTTCAACCGCATCTGAACTCCGAGGTGTCCGAGGTTTCAAACTTTTGAACTAGAAACAAGCATGGGTAGAATAGCGAAAGACCCGCTAGATTTAGCAAACGTCCGGTCGTTGTTGGAAAGCAATTTGTTCTTTTTGCCCAAGCAGGTAAACGACCCAACTGCTCATGGCGAAAAACATTATTTAAATAAAAATTAGAAAGATTACGTTGAGAGAGTGTAATTTTTGTTCAATTATTATTTTTCGTATGGTCTGGGCTTCATCAGCAAACATAATAAACGTATTAATCTACTCGGAATCACATGATTTATGATTACAGATAGATATTCTTCCTGATTTAACATACAATTTATTTTAACACGTTAATAAAGTGGTTATTCTTCAATTAACGATAATAACTTTTAAAAACAATTAGATAAAGAATCAACTACGTATATAATAGAATAGATTAGGTCTGAGTAGCAATATTATGTTTATTTTAGGAGAGTTTCAGCCGCCTAAAATATTATAATTATAAGCTCCCGGGATAATTTTATGTTCATTTATTAGAATTATCATGATAATCGCTGTTTAAAAATATCGACAATTGAAAATAATGTTATCTTAATGAAAATGTAAATATATGATCATGCAGACTTAAAACATTGAGACGCTCCTATAATGGGGATTCAATGAAGCCCCATGGCCTGCTGAGGTTCGTCACATTGACACTTGGCCAAAATTTCGTTCACCAACGCATTGCACATGAGCCCAGCAACTCCCACAATGCTGTGATTAGACTTGCAAGAAATAAATCTGCGAGCTACGTGAGAACGACGCGGTCAATAATTTTCAAGTAATTTCGTCATATTAAAAATCCAAGACGATTACAAAAATTTAATTTAGTTATTAGTTATTTGATTTCATGAAATTGGTTTTAGAATTATCATAGTGTGCGCTGGAAAATTTCGTCATACGTGCCCTTGTGCGTTTCCATCAAAAACTAAACAAAAACTATGCTTGCCGAAGCACGATACTGTGCATTATTACTACAAATTGGGTCAGAATTGAGAGAGTTTTGCGCTGTGCACGTGCGCAAATGTGTGAACCTGAAATTTTGGCCAAATTTTGGTCAAAAAGATTAAATGCGGTTTGAGGTTCTGCGTCTTGAAGTTGAAGTTGTGAGCCAGGGAAATTTTGTAGGATTTTGAACGGTCTGCTGCCGCCTCCTGGCGATCGGGAGGCGGAGTTTGAGATTGAGCGTCGTAGTTCGTGTAGCTGGAAGGGAGCGTTGTACCAGAGGGCAGGTCCTCGGTTGAAGGATGGGGGTGAGGCCTTTACCCGGTCGCACCGCGCCTCAGAGCGTGGGTCGTTGGACCTTTCACCACTTCTTCTGGAGAAGTGAAGTGCGAGGCACTCCGAAACTTGCTCTGGTTCGGCCATTGTATTGTCCTGCTGAGCTAGAACTATTGAGCGAGGGGCCGTTTTGGTGGAGAGGGAGCGAACATTTTTCCACACCACTGCGCTTTGGGTATTGCTTGTGATGGACGAAACAAATTTGTTCCAGCTTGTCTTACTGGATTTCACCACTGTGTTCCGGAAGCTGGCACGGGCACGCTTGAAGGCCATCCAGAGATCGACGTTTCCGGATGATTTTTCTATCTAGACAGGGCACGGTTTTTTGCTCGATGGGTCGCTGCACACTCTTTTGTCCACCAGCATGCAGTGATGGGTGACGGAGTTTGCTTTCTGTTTTCGGGATGTTAGCAGAAGCTGCTTTTAGGATTGAGGACACGACAGTGCCACATGCCTGTGTTGGGGATAGGAAGTTGCTGGTAAGGTTTAAGGATGCTTGAAATTGGGGCCAGTTGGCGGAGCGAGTCTGCCAGCGTGCTATGTCTGTGTATGGCTTTTTTAGGGTGGAAAGCACTAGCGGGAAGTGGTCAGTGGTGCATGGGCTTGAGTGTGGGGTCCAGGTGTAATATGGGGCTATGTCTGCTGTAGTGATGCTGAGATCGATGTGACTGTAGTTACCACTAGATGTTAGGTAGGTTGGTTCTAACGTGTTGAGGAGGAAGAGGTTTGACTGAGTCATGTATCCACTTGTGAAGTAAGGTTCCGAGGGGGGTCAGAGTGGAGGGACCCCCATGAGGGGTGGTGGGCGCTTGAGTCGCTGCAGACGATGAATGGTTTGGGGAGATGGGTGATGAGAAGAGGGAGTTCGGTTTGTAGCACTGTGTTGGGTAAGTTTGGGGGGAGATAAAGAGAGCAGACTGTGAGTTTGAGTTGAGGTAAGTGTACTTGGCTTGCACAGACTTCGAGTGAGAAGGGAGCGCAGCCGTGCACCACCAATTTTGTACACCAATAAGCCTTGAACCGAACGCCTTGGATCTTTCCCGATATCCACCAATCAGCTGTGCACCACTCGGCTTTGTCCTCCTCCGGCCTTGACCACCACCTGCCGTGCACCACAAGGCCGCGGATCGAATCTGACTTCTTGGAATTGTTAAATTACGTAATTTTACGTTCACCGCATCTGAGGTTAGGTTTCAGATAGCATAGTTCTGTTCCAAAATTTATCGTCCTTCGACAAGTTGCCGTTCGACCGAGGGCTGGTTCGACCCACGGCCTAGATACGGACGGCTTGAAGTGTTGAAGGCTACGTTCCGGAAGGCAGGAATCATGATGGTCCATTACAAGCAGGGCAGTTGTGGTCTTCGGCAGGCGACCCGAGTGAGGAGACTATTGGAAGGTGAAAGTGTGGGATAGTGGGACGGACTGTTAGCAGTACTCACTACTCCCCCTCCTCTACCGCATGCCCGGTCGCAACGTGCCATTGGTGTCTGGTATCCTCGTAGGTTGCATTGTGTGTTTTGGGGCAAGAAATGTTTCCTGTTGACATAGTACGTCTGGCCAGAGGTCAGCCATTAGTTTTTGTAAGTGTGGTAGGCGAGCTAGAAGCGACCTGACGTTCCATTGCAATATTGTGAAGTTTAGCATGTGTGTGCGATAGATGAGTGCCCAACAACTTTATCTTCTTTGAGAATGGTCAGTATAAAGTCAAGGGATTCATCTTGAAGTTCTGGTGCAAAGATTTTTCGTAGAGAACTGGGTTGACCGAGCAATTTTTCCGGTCACTGGGTGTGAGTCTTCACCAATCTTCAGGATTTTGGCCTCCAGCAAAGTGTGCACCTGTTCTAATATCTTGGTGGTTATTAGCAGGGCACCTGAGCGCTGATGCATGTTCTACACTTTGGACGGGCCCACACAGTGCGTCCATAGCTTTGGTTATTCTGAATGGGTTCAGACGAGACAGTTTAGTCTGAGCGTCTGAGCTGGTGAGAATAACTTGGCGGGTGCTTTGGGGCAGGTTGTGTGCATTTTCCGCTGAGTTGAGGTCTATCCTTGCGCTTTAGGCTTCTGTAGTCTTTTTGAGTGGTTAATTGGTGGTGCTCATGCTATCTTTGGATGCTTCGTTTAGCAGGGATTGGTGAGAGTTTGAGTGGGAAGGCTTTCACACGAGTCAGATAGCACCCCACTAATAATTGAAGAGGCATCTTCGTGGGCAAGGTCGACCTTGGAAGCTGTTGGGGATAAGTTATTGGTGGTTGGTGCATTTTTCTTGGGCTTGGAGGCATTTATAATTGAAAGACTGCGCTTCTTGGTAGAAGAAGAAGGGGCAGGCTGTGCGGCTGAGCGGCGGTAAGGCTTAGACTTATGCTGCAAAGTCTGGCTTGGCGTTTCTACCATTTTCAAATGGTTAGCCCGTGGGCGCCATATATTGCGCTCTCGGCTTGGCCCTATGGTATGATTTATTATGGTTCAATAGGGCTTAAAGTACCTCGTATACTTTAGAATGATGTAAATGGGTATGTCACTTGACACAACACGTATATGGTGCTTCGAGCGAAGGAGCGTTTAAGTCGCGATCACACTGTATCACAGTTCGAACGAGGCTGTACTGTAGTAACTGTACTGGCTACTGAATGTCTTTTGTGGGTCACCGCGACCCAAATCCAGATGTAATGTGTTCTACCATTTTCTTGTTTACTAGTTGTACGTGCTAAGGTTCATTAAAATATGATCATTTTCAATTAAGGAGAGAACTTGACATAGACACAAAATAGAAATTCAGTGCCACGATTATGCACGATAGTATTTCGATGATTGAAGATTTCCCTCTACAAAGTTTTATGATCTTCTACAAAACATTACGGAACTGTTGACTTATCATCTGCACGATTATAGAAGGCTGTGGCCAATTGTTGCTGGTTGTTAGAATGGCAAATAAATGCATTCGAATTCTATGCCCTGTCTAAATTTTTTCACCTATCGGAACGCAGGCATTAGGAGACACTTTAAAAAAGAGCAATCTTTGCACGAACCTATAGAAGGAAATTTAAGGTCAGCCGGCCTTGTAAGAAAATGTTTATTTATTTCGGCATGTAATACAGATAATTAGATTCACACTTGAAGGACTTGAAGTATAAATGTTCTATAGCTTTAAAACTGTTGAGCCCAACGTAGAATGGTTCAATTGTTTAGTCCTTAAGGATTTCAAGTTCGTCCATCGACTCTTTGCTGTCTATTTAGACCAGTGGTTCCCTAACTGTTCCAGGCTTAACGCCCTCTTTGGCTCCCCAGTGAATTTCTAGCGCCCCCTCCTCCCCGAGACACATATAAAAACATACGCCTCATTCTTGATAAAATAGTACGCGGCAACTCTAAAAAAGAAAGATGAAACACAAGTGTGTATTTCACAAATAGAACCCCATTTACTTGACCAATATATTATTAGCACTTTTAACTGTTTCAGCACTAGAAACCCAGGACGTCTCGGACAAATTTACGTACCTACCGACCAAGGGGGCGGTACCGCCCACTTTGGGAACCACTGATTTAGACGTTGGGCGGGAACACTGATTTAGAATCATGGCACTGGTAAAACTGAAGTTACAATCAAACAAAGTGATCACAACACAATACTTTTGTGTGAACTCAATTTAGTGAGGAATTCAAATATATTTCTTAGTGATATCAATGCCCAAGCTTGAAAATCTTCAAGAAAACGTTTAATGGGATAATGATCGATCTTTACCCCATCGCTCTGTGACCCTGTCGAAAAAAAGTTGCTGCAAACAGACGAAAGGCTCAGTTATCGAGGGCGAGCCTCGATATTGGATAACGAAGTAAGCTATTAGCCCAAAACCCAAGTTATTTGTTCGATTAATCTCACCCGTCTTACGCAACAATCAATATAGGTGCAAAATCATTGCTGAAATGAGACTCATTCAATATGGTCATCAATAAGTCATCAATTCAATAAGTCATCAATTGATTTGAATGAAAAGCTCTAACAATTTCTTGTTGCTACCAAATTACCAACACATTCAGCCGAAACAGGAAAATGAGTACCGTAGGTAGGCGGTAGGAGCGCAGTAGTTCAACTAAGTATCTCAGCTCCTTGTGACAACCTATTGACGGCAATTTCAAACGACGTCATCATCATCGTTATGAAAACCAACCTACCGTAGTTACCACTGGTCAATTATGATGGCTTTCTAGTTTCATCCTATGCTTTCGCCATAATTCTTTTCCATTAGCATAATTTATGTAACGTTGCTTCTAGTTGATTGAATAATAATATATAATATTATTATATATTTTGAACGTGCCGAATTGTTTTAGTACGTGGTTTTAATTTTTTGCGATTGTCGAATTTTTATATTTTTTCTTAGGACAGCTGTGAATATGGTATATTTGAACTTTTTTGTTAACATAAGAGTGTGAACTTTTAATTTTTTGATGCTAGTAAAAGTTTTTTTTAGGCAGCGTGTATGACCGATTTAAAGGTCGTGACCGTAGGTCACCAAGCACCCCAATTCCAATTCCATATAGCGGTTTCAGCGTTTATTAGGCCGGAGGCCTGTCGCCGATTCTTAACATTGCAGAACATCCACAGCTTGTTGAGGGCTTGAACTCGCAACTCACTGCTTCAGTTTTGTTTTGCTTAATTAACCGCCCGGCCAGCCGGCCTGCTTGCCGATTCTGACCGGAAACTGACGCACAGAGCTGGCCCAGGCCCAGCTGGGATCGAACCCGCACCTCACTGCTCCAATCTTGATTCTTGGTACTCTGTGAACTTTAACCGCTGGGCCTGGAAGTCTTATCAATACTGGAAGTCTTATCATTGTTTTTCAAACCACTATTTAAAATGGCATAATGACCATGGTTGAACTATAATAGTTTAACCATGAGTACAATCCATCAAGTCTTATCACTGTTCTCCTTTAATCCATGACTCCATGTTTTCCGTCATTTAAGAATTTGAGTTCCGTGAGCCTAGATATCAAAATGGACATTATTTGACTGGGGCCATTCTCCATAATTTTTAATTGTATCTCTTCACTCTGAGCGTATTCGTTTCAACTTTGACGAAATTCGGTAAGTGATTGTTTACTGTTTAAACAACATTTGGTAAGTTAAGAGATTCTGATTAGCACTTGTTTTCCTGCGTATTGGGGTTGGGATTTGTCGCTGGCCTTCGACGGTTTGACCGTAGACCGTAGTGGCTGTAGTCGTGTACCTAGTGTATAATATATTATAGTTAGGTATACAGGTCAACAGGTGTCACACCGATACCTGGTCGTAGTTTATAAAATTACCTACATACTAGTCATTTTTGCAGGTTCATGCATTCTAAATTGTCTCAATCTTCTCAAACTAAATTTGTTACATACAATGCAAATGCATTGAATGCAACAAATCCCCAACAATGGTAAAAATTACAAACAAATATTAGCTGAATTTTAAGAGGTCAAAGAGGAAATGGAAATCCTAATTCCTAGGTGGCTTTATAAAGTAATAAATGAAAATATCACTAGGCCTACTACAGATGACTAGGTGAACACTACTAGACCTAGTCTCACCTAGTGTCCTAGTCTACTACTACTAGTTCTAGTACTAAGCAGTAAGCAGTAGGCCAGTAGCCAGTAAGTAAACACTGCCCTTCCAAGTGCCCAACAGACAACAGTGAACAGCCCAACACTAGTTCAGCTAGTTGCCTATTCTACTGCCTCTGCCACTGGCACTGCCAGTACCAGTAACTGGAAAACTGTGTAGACAGTGTAATAGTCTCCTGTGAATTGGACTAAAATGCTAGTAAATTTGGCTGATTTCAGTCATTCCTTTTTTCCCGATTTATTTATAGTCATAAATAAGTAAATTGCCTGGTTTTAGTTTATTTATTCTCTACAATTTCTGAAAATTACTTATGAACTGGTTACATTACATTTACCTATGACTAATAATGATTTTTGGAAACTTGCATCCAATATTGCTATTTGTACTGGTGCTGCTGCCAGGCTCAAGCCCAGACTGTAAAGCAGCGGTTCCCAAACTCTTTCAGGCTACTCAGGCTAGCACCCCCTTTAGCTACCCAGTGAATCTCTAGCACCCCCCCCCCTCCCTGGCCTGACTGTGAGTCTGTGACAGAGGTCAGAGTCAGACAGATGCATACAAAAACAAACACCTATTTCTTGATATTTAGCATGCTGTAATTTTAAAAGGAAAAGGTTGAACTCACTTGAACACAAGTGTGTATTTCACAAATAGAACCCGATTTAGTAAACCTATATATATTTTTAAAGTTTGAAGTGTTTTAGCACTGAAATTCAAGATGGCCTGAACAAATTTACTGCCAGACTTGTGGCTGGTCTTGCAGGCAGTCTTACAGCCAATCTCCTAAGTCCAAATTTAGTGACCAAGGAATATCTCCCAAACTAATGGATTATGGATGCAGCTTGATAAAACTTGGAACATGTATTAAATAGAACCTAATGGTGATGTTTAACTTGTGAACAAATTTCACATTCATTCAGGAGTTATAGGCGATATGGTCCAAAATTCGCAGTGATAAAAGAATGTCTTTCAAACTACTGAACAGATTTGGAAGAAATTTTGAATATAAATACCTAACTACCGTACCAGGGTTGGTAATGATTAAATCTAAATGATTAAATCACTTGATTTTTTTATAAAAAACATGATTTTTTATTTTTTATTTTTATTTTTTTGATTTTTTAATTTTTTCATATATTTAAATATATTGAGTGGCAGTCTTTGATTTATATTGAGGTATTGTTATTCATGGTTTAGTATGAATGTACTATGAATGACAATTTGGTATATAAACTTGTTGCCTTGAGTGTGTGTAACCGGAAACACCGCGCGAAGTTGAAATATTTAGGGTAGCGTGCCGACTTAGTGTAGACTTTTGTACTGGTCCGAAACACAAGGGCTAAAGAGTCGCTCTTTGGTCCGGCTCTATATTCCCTTGCGTTGTAGAAAGGAGTAATGCCATAGCCTGCATCTGCGTCTCATGGTAGCCTGCATCTGCGTCTCATGATAGCCTGCGTCTGCGTCTCATAGTAGCCTGCATCTGCGTCTCATAGTAGCCTGCATCTGCGTCTCATGGTAGCTTGCATCTGCGTCTCATGGTAGCTTGCATCTGCGCCTCATGGTAGCCTGCGTCTGCGTCTCATAGTAGCCTGCATCTGCGTCTCATAGTAGCCTGCATCTGCGTCTCATGGTAGCCTGCGTCTCATGGTAGCCTGCATCTGCGTCTCATGGTAGCCCGCGTCTCATGGTAGCCCGCGTCTGCGGCTCATGATAGCCTGCGCCTGCGTCTCATGGTAGCCTGTGTCTCATGGTAGCCTGCTTCCCCTCCCTGGTAGTCGACGTACTAACTCAACTACCGCAATCGCTGGCAGCGTCTGCAGGTCCCACTGGTCGCAGGTAGCTGCTAATGGAAATTCTTCAGTTTAACTAAACTTCTTTAATTTGTTCTCAGGTCAGATACCACTACCACCTGGCGCTGATTGGTGTTGATTGTGTCACCGCTACTGTTATTCCTGTGCTCCGTCTTACTGAGGTAATTATTTTTTGTTATCAGAAGCGTGATGCATGTCATCATCACATGTGCTAAAATTACGAAAATGTCAATTATATTAGTCTATTTATCATTTTACACTTAAAATATGGTTTGGTTATTAGCTTAGAGCAGTAGATTCATAAGATTTGATTCCTAAGCAGGGAAAATCACAAAGCAAATGATAGTTCAATGTTTCTAGATTTTAAATTTACTCAAATCAAATGATTGTTCCCCTAACTAGTAATTATTTGTTTTGTAGTTTTCAAATTCTTTTCAGGGTATCGCAAATTTTGGTTTTTATTTTTTTAAATAACTTGACTTTTCGCGATTTCATGATTTGCTTTCAGTTAAAATAGAAATAAAGCAAGCCATACTGAAGTTAGCGTGCACATGAACATTCATCCTACTCATTTCAAACACCCACGAAAATATTTCCTGCCTCTTTTCTTTATTATCTGCCGTGTAATGTTGGCGCACTGCTGGATCCATGCAAGTATCGGAAATGCGCACTTCCCCGTGATTTGGTGTCACATTTTTCACTTCATCATCACAAAAAAAAGAGATAAGTGAGTTTAGATGAGCACTTCTACTCCAAATGGTCTACGTATGACCTGTTTTTCCTGTTCATTTACTTTATCCGATTTCTCTTGCGCGAATCGATCTCAGTTGATAGTCTTTTTGGGCTTTTCTTTATTAACGTAAGTCACAAATAAATTTAGTGAGCTGATTACTGTGCGCTCTAAATTACTCGTTGTCTGTACGTGCATTGTTGTTGACATTTGCAGTTGCATTTCAGCACATGTAATGAATATGGCACAAATTTGCCTTCATGGTCTGTAAGGTAGTAGGTGTAAGGTGTCCAGTTAGCTCGACGAGCAGTTATCATAATGTTCATTTGTCTTTTTATCGCTATTGTTTTAAGCTTCCGCATTGCAACAGCACCGTATAATTCTATCGAAAAGTGATAGAATTACAAATTGTACAATTATATACTATTGTACAAAGTTTAAATGTGTTTTTGCTTCGGATATGACAAATCGTTTGTTACTCATCAGATGGCGGATGGTTGGGACGACCCGTATGGCAACAGCAACAAAAACTCAGGAAGCTGGCAAACATCTGGCGCGTCAAATTTTTTTGACCCTAATGCTAGTCATGGCTTCGTGCAAGAACAAAATTTCCAGAGTTTCGACTACTCGAGCAACCCTGGCTTCGGTGCAGCTCCCTCAAACCCTGGACCTACTCCCTCAATGTTTGTACCTGGCCCCGTGAACGACATGGAAAGTCTGGGCGGCATGACGGAGGAAGACGAACCTCCCTTGCTTGAAGAACTCGGCATAGATCCTGACGCAATTCTACAGAAAACACTGAACGTGCTGAACCCTCGTCGCAATACCGACCCAGCCATGTTGCAAGACACAGATCTCGCCGGTCCTTTGGTCTTTTGCTTGGCATTTGGCAGCTTCTTGCTACTCGCTGGCAAATTACAATTTGGTGCCATCTATGGAGTAGGTCTGTTGGGCTGCGTAGCGTTGTACGGTCTTCTCAACCTCATGTCAACCAACGGCGTTGCTTTGGGTGTCGTGATCAGCGTGCTGGGCTACTGCCTATTGCCTGTCGTAGGTCTGGCAGGCCTGAATGTTTTACTGTCTCTGCAAGGAGCCGTAGGAGCTCTGCTTGCCACCACTGCCATCTTCTGGTGCTCGTGGTCGGCATCTAAGCTGTTCGTGACGGCGCTTGCCATGCACCATCAGCAGCCGCTGGTCGCTTACCCCTGCGCTTTGGTCTACTCGGTGTTCGCTCTCATTACGGTCTTCTGATGGCAATCTCACTTTATTTATTTCTCAACCCTAGGCTTAATTCAATATATTTCTATACATTCGTATTCTTATTGTATTTTTCTATTTTGTTCATGGTATCAAGTTTAAACATCCCTCTCGCCCCCAATGTGACGTTAACAGAGATATTGAATAGATGAAAAATGATGGCCCATAGTATCGAAAATAAAATGTAATCATTTATAATGTCATAAATTTGACTAACGTGTTTATGTGTCAGTTATATCCTTATTGCAAAGTAATGCTGCCCGCTCGTCCTTAGTGAAGAATACCCTTCCAGTGGAGGAGCATGCATGCCGTGTATCTACATGCATGCCGTGTATCTACATGCGTGCCGTGTATCTACATGCATGCCGTGTATCTACATGCTGCTGCGTGTGTACATGCATGCTGCGTGTGTACATGCATGCTGCGTGTGTACATGCATGCTGCGTGTGTACATGCATGCTGCGTGTGTACATGCATTGCACACAAGAAATTAGAAATTTTATTTCGGTTATTTACAGACAGATAACTTTGAAACTTGAAACACACATATAAAAAATAAATCTAAGACTTTTTTGGTTCGTGTAAATTTTCGAAAAAAATGAAAGAAAACTTGAAATTCTTAGAAAACCGGTGTTTTTTTTAAAGGCGACTTGTAAGTCCGATTTGGCGGTAAAGGGTTAATAAAGCCAATAAACGACTTGGACTGATCAGACGCTCTTACGAGTACATAGATGCTAAAGCGATGAAACTGTTGTTTGTTGCTGTCGTGCGTCCAAACCTTGAGTTCGGAAACGCCCTGTGGTCACCAAAACAAGAAAAGGACAAAAATTTAGTCAAGAGTGTTCAGAGACGTGCAGCAAGGATAATTTCGATATTAAAGGGCAACGGCAAGCCGTATGAAGAAAAGTTGAAGATAATGAAGCTTCCAAGCCTCTGCTATTGACGTCTGCGTTGTGAACTCATCGAAATATACAACTATACCCACGGTTTATACAAGGTACCAGAAGGATAACCAGAATTTGAAACAAGAACTAACACTGAGGGCCACGGCTATAAAATAAATGCGATGTAACACATCCATGCGACAACATTTCTTCTCGCTTCGAGTCACCGACATGTAGAACAGCCTCCCTGATAGCATCGTTGACGATCCGAGTTTGAACGCATTCAAGAACAGACTAGACGAAGCTATGTAGGAGCATATGTTCAGTCATGAAATGCCTAGCACCAAACGGACCAGGCATTAAGTCTGGCAGCTATCTCAATTAATTGTCAGTTATGGAAAGATCTGGTCCAGAAGGCTGGATCCATTGTGAATAAGTCACAAAAAGTACAAGAATCGGCAACAGGCCATGGGCCCTTTCCTTCACTGCCGGTACTTCTATTCTATTCTATTACTCCGATTTTAATGTTAGCGGTATAAGCTTTTATTTAGGATTAAAAAACTGAAGAGTTTCAACTTGCAACTGTTAGTCTTTTCAATTTATAATACAAAATTGAAGATTTGCATCTGTGCAAATATACCTCGTTTTACCTGGAAACTCTCACGAAAGTAGCGGTTTTATCTTTAAAAGTGGCGCTGGGTCATAGTCGGCTCTGATTGGTTCGTTTGATTGGTGGCGATTTGGTTGTTGTTGGGAGAGTTCTCTAAAATCAAAATGCGATAAAAGGATTTCAGATGTAGATTCATTGAAAGGCTGTAAGCATTGCGATTATCACCTATGCATAAGAATGGTTTGATTTAATGAAATCTAAGTATGCTATTTCTAAATGGTATTTCGTTGCGATTTGGGAAACTGGTGAAAAGCTCATAGTCATAGCCTAGGCCTATGTGCTCTAGCTAATCCAATTATCCAAATTATCCATTACCAGAGATTGGCAGAGACGAGTTATGACTGAGTGACAAACCACAGGTTTTTAAATTCAGTTCATTTTTAATTTCCTCATCTACTCAAGATTTAAACAAATTTCCTGTGTAATGTGTGTATGATAATGCTGGTATCCAGTATACCTTCCTGGTCTAATTTAGGACTCAAATTGAATTTGAGGAAGTCTAAATATGTCTGCACTCTGCTATTATGCAAATGCATGCTTTTACTTCATAGTGGCAAAGCAGAGAGTTTTTTAGACTCTCCCTCAAGTTCATTTTTGAGTCCTATAAGTAGACCAGTAAAGTATCCTGGATACCAGCATTATCATACTTAAGAAATTGGTTTAAATCTTGAGTAAATGAGGAAATTAAAAATGAACTGATTCTAAAAAAGCTCTGGTTTGCCACTATGTTTTACTTAGTTTACTAGTGGAGAGTATGCTTGCTTGCGCTTGGATTGGATATAGTAGCTAGGCTAAGCTAGCCTACCACTACCAGTAGTTCTAAACTTCTACGGTAGTTCGCTTGTAACTTGATTATTGAGTAGGTACATTGATATTTGATGATTGCTAATGGTAGGTATGTGCACAAAAAAAAATTTTCCTTTGATCATAATGAAAATTACACCACTGAAAAGAGAAAAAAAATTTAGAAAAATATATACCTAAGTATGAGTGAAGTGGGTCGAAAAATGAAAAAGATATGAATTTTTTCCTTTTTTAATTTCACCCCTAAAATGGACCAACTTCTGTCACTTTTTTTGGAAAAACTATCATTTGTAAATTGTAGGTTTCCTATGAGCCAATTTCAAAGTTTTTAGTACCATTGGAAAGCTCATGTTATAGACTCTCTAGGTATTCTAACTAGAATAAAACATTTTGGTTGAGACTTTGACTGCAGGTGGGTGGGGGAAATGGGTGCAACTGCTAGACTAGTATGGAATTTATCTACTTGGCGAGCCGCGACTGAATTTTTCGAGCCGTGGTTTTCTCATCTCGTCTCGTGCCTCGTCTCATCTCGTCTTGTGCCTTGTCTCATCTTGTCTCATGCCTTGTCTCATCTCGTCTCGTGCCTTGTCTCTTATCGTCTCGTGCCTTGTCTCTTATCGTCTCGTGTCTCGTCTCGTCTCTCGTGTCTTGTCTCGTCTCATCTCGTGTCTCATTTCATCTCATGTCTCGTTGCATGTCTCGTCTTGTCTCATGCCTCGTCTCATGTCTCATCTCCTTGTCTCATATCCAATCTCACGTCTCGTCTCATGCTTGTCTCCTCATCTCATGCCTTGTCTCATGTCTCGTCTCATGTCATGTCTTGCGTCTCATCTCACATCTCGTTTCATGCCTTGTATCATGTCCAGTCTCATATGTTTCGTCTTGTGTCTCATCTCCTCGTTCCATGTCTTGTGTCTCATCTCCTCGTTCCATGTCTTGTCTTGCGTCTCATCTCACATCTCGTCTCATGTCTCGTCTCATATCTTGTCTCATGCCTCGTCTCATGTACCCTCTCATGTCTTGTCTCATGTCTCATCTCATGTCGCAGTCTCGGCAGTAGTTCAGGACCAGCGCACCTCACTGGCTCATGACTGAACTGAACGTAAACAGCGCGACAGGACATGGTAGAAAAACTGTCCGAATGGCTGCAAAGCTCTGAAATTTCAAGAGCATGCTCTAAAAACTATAATCTTGATTTCAAATTCTTTCATTAATTTCAAAATACGATATCCCTGTTTATTTCCCGCCCAAATGTTACCTCTTGCACATCCCAGCTAAGTAGGTACTTGATAGACATTTCTCGAGAAAAAAAAATTATGTCGTCATAGTTCAAGATTTCTTAGTTCGTTTCCAAACAAAGGTCAATCAAATTAAGCTAACATTTTGGTGGGACTTTCAAAATTAAATACCTTACGCGCGCCGATGCGGAAAGTGGCTGTCCGCCATTTTGCCAGCATTGTTTACATTCAAGCGTACTTTGTGCACATACCTACTAATGGCTAATAGGATAGGCTAACTAGTTAACAACTGCCAATCTGCCATCAAAATTTCAAAGGTTTGCTAAAAAAAATTCTAAAATTATATGTAGTTAAAGTACCTAGATAGGCTAGCAAAAAATCTTGTGATGATTGTTTATGGCAAGGTGGTTTTGGTTTTACGGCTCAAAATAGCCTAATAGTAATAGGGAAGCAGCTGACATTAATTTTATTTCAAATTTTAGTTTTAGGATAATGCTGCCAATAACAATGTCTTACTCCAACATTAGCAAAGACCAACTATGGTTTAACAACCATAAATCAAGTGGTAACCATCCCTGAATAGGCTTCAGGTACAAGCCAAGGAGTGATAGTTGGCAGGGCAGAACTTGACCACGGGTGGAGGGATGGAGATTAATGCTGAGTGGCTTGTGGACCAAGTCACACAACACACACTTACATACCACACCCAGGCACACCACACTCAATCCACACTGCACTCAGCACCAACACTCTTACCTTATGGCAGGAAGTATGCCTTAGTATCCTTAGTATTTGTTTGGGACATAGCAGTCCCAGGCCACGATGGATCGCCGCCTCTGATTATCGTTCATCCGCCCTCATTTGGGCCACCTGATGCACGATGCTGTTGCTTGCTTCTCGCCGCTGGTAGTGTTGCAGGGGAGGTCGATCTGGGATTGTGCTCAGGAACACGTCTAGCTGTCTCTTGAAGTTTAGATCCCTTGGTAGGGCGTTGAACAGCCTTGGTCCTGCCACGGAGAGTGATCCTTCTCGCAGGGATTGAAATCTGACTGCGGATCTGTTACGCAGAAGAGGGATCTTGCACAGTCTCCCCCTTCTCTTGTTGTGATATGTCTGAATCTTGAAGGTCTTGCTCTCTAAGTTTGGCACTATTCCGGTTATCATTTTCCATGTGTACAGAATGACATACCTCTCACGTCTCCTCTGCAGTGAGTACAGACTCAGTCGCTGTAACCTCCCCCAGTAGTTAAAATTCTCCATCCCTCTGATCCTGGAAGTAAAGGTTTGTTGGACTCCTTCCAGTTGCCGTATTGCGCCTAGCGTGAACGGAGTCCAGAGCTGGCAGCAGTATTCAAGGATAGGTATTAGGGTTGTAGCCATCTTAATCTTGTAGCCCCAAGGGTTGTAGCCATCTTACCATTTTCTGGGCTGTTGGGAGAGCTAATGATTGTCTAGAGCCTAGAGCACACTTTGATAGCAAATGGTATGTGGCTAGCAAATGGGAACAAATAGGTGCCAAGCACAGGATTGCATAAGCAAACTAGGTCACACAATACCTAAACGTTGAACATCAATGAAAGTAAAGCAAGGAAAACACAACAGTTATGCAGTTCAAGAATTAAATCTGCAAATCCTAATTTCGCCTCTGGTAGTCTGGTATAAAGCTAGTCAGACTAAAGTTTCAACTACTCTTGACACAACAACATGATTCCCTCACTGATGTATGGGGCATTCATGACTGGATTATGAAATACAACTGGTCCTACTAAATTGTACAAGTCATTATATAGACTCCTATACTCCTAGTCGCACTAGCATCCTAATCAGTAAATATACTACTAGAAACAACTATAAAATTGGACTAAGTCACATATGTCTGGATTCAAAGTATCTAGGAAAAACGCAAGGCTCATCAACTTCAAGTTGGTATCCAAATCAAATTTTGGTTCATAGGTGGAATGTCTTATCTTCTTTCTTTATGGCCAGGAGTTGGTCAAGCGATCTTAGGTTCTCATCAAGAAGACTGTAGCTCCACACCAACCGCTCCTAAACGTCGAATAAATGCATTCATAAGAACTAGCCTTCTAGAAATATTGACATCAGGAGGATGTTTAAAACTGTTTTGTCAACCACAATGTCATGAGTAAAGTTATTCAAGGGTAGACACAACATGGTTCAAGTAAGCAAAATGAAAATTGTGCAATAAAAGGTCAGGATTAACATGAGAACCAGTGAAAACCATTCATCATTCTTTATAAACAGGCATGAAAAACTGGAAAACTTTTGTTAAGAGCTCAGTAATGACAAATATAAGCATGGTGACATTTTAATGAAATGAACTGTACTCACCAAAATGGAGCATCAGGATGGGATTAGCAAGCAGAGGAGTAGATTGAATCATGCATTAAGGCATCTTAAGCAGGCTTTTGAAGGTCAGAAAATAATCAGGTGCAACCATTGAATTTCCAATTCAGCAATCATGGGTGCAGACTAACAAAAGTGCATTAAATGTGGACTTTCAAAAGATGGACCAGCCATTAACTTTTACTCTGCTTAAATGTGACACTAGTAAAACGTGGTAAAGGGAACACTTCGATAATTCAATCATATGGCCACTGCATATGGAGACATAAAATAGGTAAACTGAATTATTGTTTCTCACCAGTAGTGAGAAAAATATTGTAGAAGGGCACTAAATTATAGAATAGGAATGTAAGCATAATTATTTTACATCGTAATTCCCTACTTGCATGGTCAAAGGACCAACATGACTCAATGGGTGTGTTTCAAACAATGCAGTTGTAATCCAACTGGACTGAATGGTTGCCTTTTGAAATGCAATGTGATATATGCATGTACTTGTTATTTTATATTCAAATTTTGCATGTGCACTCACTATTGTACTAGAAATGATGTAGAATTTATTCAATGCTGTAGCTTATCCGATTTTCCCAGTCCAATAAAGATTAGGAAAGTTCAAGAAATGAATGGCACCATGGATTCCCAAAAAGATCAGCAATGTACTGCGTAGTTGGCGACAACAAGTAGAGTTGCACCACTGAAACGGAGGGACGCTTACCAAACATGTTTGAAACAACTAGCACTAATTCCTTCCTTATCATGACAGTAATATTACAGAGCGTGTTTTAAAGGTGACCGTATGGTACACCTGGTCATAAAAGGGTTAACTTTTTTAACTGCCAAGTTTGGCACAAAGACTAGTCTATGGTAATGCTTGGAATAACAAATCTGAAGGTTATTCCAATCCAATCATATAAAGGTCCTGGATCTGAAGGACAGCATGCACCCAATTACAACAAATTATAAAGATCTCATTGGAGGCCAAATGGCACTGGCATCCCATGGTTATTATATGTCAGATTGATGTTATTTGACTCAATAAGATATATGCTTATTTTTCAGATTTGTTTTATGCAGCAGACTTGTGTAAATGTATTTTACTTAGATATAACTTGTAGAATAAAGTAGTCTTAATTTTCATCTTACTTCATTTTAATATAAGAATATATTTCAATGGATCCTCGGCTGTCTTACCTACATGCATCAGAACACAGGTAAACTGGTATATATTACTTGTCTTAGGATGAGCTATATGAATATTTAAAGTCTATATAAATGCATATATAGGTACCTCTTGATTAATGTTGTCAATTATTTCTCTTTCCTGTGTTGGCAGCTGCCTTTGTCTTCAATAGTGGGACATTTGATTTGTGAATTGAATGTTATTGTGTAGAACTCAATTTCACTAGCATGGTTAGGTAAAAGGTCTTCATTTATGCAGGTTCGATTGAAGACCAGAGCATGCTACTCATTAGCAATTTTGTTTGCTTTTTCAACGATTCCAACAAAATTTCTTGTTGGCGTTGGGAGATCAAAAAAGCAGGTTAGCAAATGACATTTAATAGAATGTGAGTTTTGAATGTTCATTTACAAGCAATTGAAGGTTCTACAGCATTTAAAAATTTAAAGTGAAATAAAAGATTTAAAAACATGCTCTGGTCTTCAATCAAACTTGGAGAAATTCAATTTGAATGTCTTCCATAATTCTGTGGATAGTTTTAAACACCTACTCTACTTTTGGATTGTTATCTTCATGAATAATGGCATAGGATAGCCTCTTTTGTATCACTGTTATTCTGAATGCTCTGCATTCATGTGACAATGCAAGTATGCAAGATAGTGCCCCATTTGGTTTCTAAACTTGATACATTTCTTGTAAAATTATTCTTGCAGTAGAGTAAGTTGTAAAGAAAATGCTAGATTTTAAATGCAAATTCTCTTGTCACAACCTGTGAGACACTCTGTAATCATATTTTAAATGCAGCATTTAGTTACCCAAATAGCCAATTGTGTTATTATCATCATTTCCACTGTTCATTACATTCTTTCTCCCTTTGATCTTTTTACGTGTATATACAATGAATAGCTTTCTGTATTATTCTTATTTCAACCCATCCTTACTGTGTTGAATAACTGTCAATATTCAATGGCGTATAAATGGTTGTTAAATTCCTTCACTGATATTGCAGGTACGATGAAGAACTTGTGCGTGTGTTCAATCCTGTGATAAACCTGAGTGAAACGTTCAACAGTCTTACGGCTGCAGATGAAAATTGCCACCTGAAGGTTTTCCTGCGAGTTCGTCCTTATTTGCCTGGTGAAGAGAAGGAGGAGAAGGAACAGCCTCAAGTCAGCATTGAAGATGCCAATACTGTGCTCCTTACTGCCCCTTCAACATCCAACACATTCAAGAACTCCACTCATGGCATCACTAAGCTCACCAACAAGTCTGTGAATTTTATTTGGTTACTGGCTTTGGAAATTTTAATGAAGCTGTAGGACATATATTTGCACATAATGCAATAAGTGCATTATTAGTTTCTTCTAAGTCGTTTGTTCCTTGTACTTTTATTTATATAGAAGATTGCAAAATTTTCAGGTTTCATGCTGTGTCCCAATAATATTGCTTCTGCTCCTCACAATTTTTGACTAATTTAGTGTAAACAGCAGGGTGAGGATTCACATTTTCTTAATGAGTTTCTTATCTTGAAATGATTTTTCCATAATGATCAAGTATATGGTGAGTTTTTCATAACAAAGAAAAATGTAACAAGAAGTAAGCGTGAATAAACTGGCTGCCCGGAGAATTTGCCTTGCTTCATTTTAACAGCAGAGGCTATAGAACACTCAAACCATTAGAGGATGAAATCAATGGATGCTTGGTGAACAATACTGGTAACGCAGTGATTTAAAAATTTATTTTTATGCAGTGATTTAAAAATTTATTTTTACGCAGTGATTTAAAAATTTATTTGCTACAGGTTCACATTCTCACATATTTATGGGCCATCAACAAGCCAGTTGCAGTTATACGAGTGCACCACCAAACCCATGGTCACCCAATTCATCCAGGGCCAGAACTGCCTCCTCTTCACTTATGGTGCTACCAACTCGGGCAAGACTTACACAGTCCAAGGTAGGGCAATGTCATGTCATGTGTTAGTAACGTTTTGATGTTAAATGAAATATGTTGTGTAGGTAAGTAGCATTTATCTGACAAATAAAGCTTGACTCTACCTGTAATACTTTTTTTTTTGCAATCAATTTCTCCACAAGATTGAGATATACCATAATATACAAAACTTTTTAACTTAATGTGTTAGGTTGATTGATTTACTGTTGTAATTCTTTTCTTGACATTTTTGTTCAGAATGCTGTCCAATCACCAGAAATGTTTAGATCGTGTTCGCAATAAATATTACTAATATTTTTCTTCCGATTTCAGCTATCAGGATATTGTAGAAAATTTCGCAACCAGGGTGCCTTTAAAATACCACTGAAGATTTTGTGCAGTTTGGCTGTTTGTTTCTTAATATATTATATTGATGGGTGTGTGTGCGGTGCTCATTATTACGAGCTTCTTGAAAATTTGTCAAACATTCTTTTTGTTGCAACAATGAACATAAGATTTCATTGTAATAACAAAAATGTTTGCTAAAAAAGCAGTTAAAACAGAATAAGGTAAATTTGATGCTTGCCTTGATAGTTTTAATATTTGTCCTTAAATGACCCATACAAGTAACAAAAGCCATATCTGTTACCTCTATTTCTATCCCACTGTAAATCTATTTAATTGTCAGGTGGTGGTGGCAGCGAGCAAGGCATCTTGCCGCGGATGCTTGCCTCGCTATTCAGGAGCATCAATGGTTCCCTGTACCCACATCGTGACTTGCACCTGCAGCATCAGTCCAACCTGGTCAGCCTGAGCCCCAGGGAAATTCAGATGGAGGAGGAAAAGCGTGAAGCTCTTCTCAGGCCTGGCTGCGACAGCACTCTCTCAAGATCTACCTCTGTAAGCCTTGAATATGCACTGCTGCCAAGCTTTGTTTCCAATTGTCCCACAATTTAACATTCCTCAATAGGCTTAGAGTACCTTTCAGTTTGTAGAAATTGGCGTATTTTGATGAATTAAGTATATACTTGACTCAAATTGCATAGGCTCAACTATGCAAATTTGAAAACCTGAAGTTTGAAAGCAACAGGCATGGCGTGCCTTATTATTTAAGCTTTACAAATTATTTACACCCTGTGACAAATCTATGTTAACTCTTCAGTCGTTTTTGATGTAAGAATGGGTATCAAAAAAACACTAATATTATTGTAATATACTGAAATATGTGTATTTGTCATTGCTTGTTTAGTGATAAACCGACGAATAAGACTTAGAATTACATTTCTTTGCATGAATGATAAATCCATGAATTCAAGTGTTCAGAGCACTCAATGCTTTTAGCCTAATTAAGTAATTACTGTGGCTGCTGGAGAGTTCTTGTGCTTACGGTAGCATTGTGTTTACAGTCTCTGAACAGCACGGGTGGAGAGCCCAGCAGCGGCGCCTCTCTCGACATTTTTGATGACTCCAATAATGGCAAAGGTGGGATTATTTTTCTTGCCTAACGCACCAAGTTTCACATGTTTGATTTATGGTTGAATGAATTCTATAAGAAGTTTATTACAAAATCATTTCATTCTCAAGTAGCAGAGAGGCTACATTTGTAGTTGCCGAAATGTCATTCTGCAGGTGTATGTTTGTTTTTCCAAATTTGTTGCTTCTGGAAAATGTTGCAAACATTTCATTCCAGTTGTTATAGTCGCCTTCTGTTGTGCGCCAATTTCATTCCAAGAGTATTAAGAGCATACCTTTTATTTCAAGACCACTAGTGCTCGTGTGGAGGCGAAAATTTACCACAATGAATAATGTTTGGCAAGAATTCTTTGAGGCTAATGGACGCAATTGTAGTCATGGGTTCCATTGAAAAACATAATTGTACTCTGGGAGGTATGTTAGCTTGTATCTATTTTAGCCACGTAAATAGTAGTATCTATATTGAGCAATTCAACATAAAGCTTAAATTGTTACTCATCACCTTACTCACATTTGCTTTTTACAAGATGTACGTACAAAGCAAGCAAATCGGTAGTTTTCTTTATCTTAATTAAACACGGCTTTGAATGTCTTCACTGTACGGCATGTGTTTAAATTTGTTAACAAATTCGGGTGTAATAGGATCATATATTCCTGGAATTGTTATAAGCTAGAGCCTTTATATACAATAGATGCAGTAGGTAGTACTTATATCGAGCAGAGATATTCTATGAAAGAATAAACTTTTATCAACTTATTGTAATCACTAGAATTATTTCTAAATTGTGAAATGATTGTTAGGGAGAAACTAACTAGACTTGTGGTTTTTATTTTCAAACATGAAAAAACAATCTTGGATATGAATATTTTTTATCAGGATTATCTTTTAGGTTTACTCAGGTACATGGATACTTCAAATGTTGTTGGCTACTGAACACTTGTGTGAAGCACCCTTGTTACTATTCTTTCAGATATGAGTAGGTCTTATGAATTTTTTTGTTGAAGTTAATTGGCAAAGATAAAGGGAAAATCTTGCTCTGCAAATCATGCTTTGAATGCAAAAGAATATTTATTCTATTTGTTTCAAACATTTTATTCACAAATATTCTTCCGTGAGCCTGGGAAATTTTTATTAAAAACTTCCTTGGAAATTGCATGTTGAAACTGAAGACTTTTTGACAAAAATCTTTTACAGTTTTTAGCAATATATTTTTATTTAATGGATTTCCGTGAATTTATTATGTTTAGCTGAACAATGCGTTCAATTCAACTAAAATATTACTATTTACTTTTTAATCTTTGCTCATTTTCATCGTGTATAGTTTTAATTTACCTCTAGTTAAGTATTAAAACGTGATTTAAGTGGTCATTTTGTCGTCAGAACCCACGGACAGCAGTGATCTGATAGCAGCTGAAGAAGGCATGTTGTATGCCGTGTTTGTGAGCTTTGCTGAGATCTACAATGAAACAATTTACGATCTACTGGAGCGCCTTCCTCCTGGCTGCAACAAGCGCAACCCTCACATGTTGGGCGAGGACAGGAATGGAGTTAGCTTCATTAAAGGTGATTTATAACACATTGCTTACTAAACATTAATGTATTTGGTTTACTTTAGAATTGCCGTGGTAAACGGTACTCGTGTCGTTTCAGGAAATCTAGAATGTCTTTTTATTTTATTTTAATAGTACTTATATTTTTGGAGAACTTTCATCACATATCACCTCAGTATGTATATACAGTGGGGGGAAATAAATATTCGTACACTTGAAAAATCGTATTTTAATGTATGTAAGTACACAAACTGAACAGGAGAAGTGATTTATATTATGTATAGAGGCGCATTGTATTCAAATAACTACCAGAGCATCCTGGAAAATAATTTGACGGCTTCTGTTGAGAAACTAGAGCTACCTGGTGATTGGATTTTCCAGCAGGATAACGATCCTAAGCATACTGCAAGATCCACAAAGAAATGGTTCGCTGATAGAAATGTACACGTTATGGAATGGCCAAGCCAGTCGCCGGACTTAAATCCGATTGAAAATTTGTGGCGGTATTTGAAGATTCAAATTAAGAAAAGGTCCCCAACAAACATTGAGAATCTTAAAGTGGTGTGCCAAGAAGAATGGTATAAAATACCAGTCAGCATCTGCAAATCATTGGTCGAGACGTATAGAAATAGACTGGTGTATCTGTTGAGCTGAATAAAGGGTATTCAACCAAGTATTAAATTAAAATAATGCGGAACGTACGAATACTTTATGTACGAATACTTTTTTCACCTGAAAAGTGAACATGTTGCATTGTTTTTTGTTGCATTGAGATTTAATTTCTTTTGATAGTATTTTTGAATAGGTACTATGCGTCTCTATACATAATTTAAATCACTTTTCCTGTTAAGTTTGTGTACTTACATACATTAAAATACGATTTTTCAAGTGTACGAATATTCATTTCCCCCCACTGTATTAGCTTAGCCATCATAGAATGCTTTTAGAATAGAATAGAATGCATCACAGTGCTTCATAGAATGCATCACAGTGCTGCTTTTTGCAGTACTGCAATGAATGAAATTTGCATGGTGCAAATCCCACTGGTGCCTCAGCTTTGCTCATTCACCTGGATCTTATGAGGAGTAATTCATGCAAAAATATTCAATTCTAATCTCGCATAATCCCCTTCATTTTTTTTGTGTATCTTATGATTCAATATTTGTGAGCGTTTAAATTCTTTGGCCGTTGCCTTCATCTTGAAATAGCAAATTGTCTGATCTGTTCCAACAGTACTAGTGTTTTTTTTTTCTTCCACTGATCGCCTGAGCTCTGCAGCTTTCAACATGTCATGTATGATGAAATGAACAGGTCATGTATGATTCTGTTGCTTTCAATGAAATGAAAGCAACAGAAACGATTATCTAGTTTAGACAATCGGCGGCCATTCAGTGTTGTGTTTTGTTCAGGTTTGTACGATGTGCGTGTGGACTCTGCAAGTGAAGCACTACGTGTGCTGGAGGTCGGTCGCCGCAACCTGCACTTCGCTACCACGCGTCTCAACCACAACTCTTCTCGGTCTCACTGCATCTTCACCGTCAAACTCATTCACCTTGCGTCAGCTGACATGCCAAAATATGCTCGTGTTTCCAAGTACGTTTTTGTTGAATATCTCTGTTTTTCAGAGGTCGAGAAGCTGCTATTATAATTTTGAAAAGAGTATTATGTCTCATTATAATTTCTAAAGCCATATCTGTCAACTGACTTGAAAGTATCAACTGCAAAAAAAACTTTTTAAGCATCAGTTCTTGATTCTTTAAAGGAGCATTTTGAAACATATACTGTTAAGACTTCATTTAAGAGCCTATAATTTAGCACTTGCTCGCATCTCACTTTATAATGAATGGAATAACCTGTGCAGGTTTTCGATTTGCGATCTTGCGGGCGCAGAGCGCGTGGCCAAGACACAGGGCTGTGGCGAGCGTCTCAAGGAGGCTGGCAACATCAACACGTCGCTGCTGGTGCTGTCGCGCTGTATTGTTGCTCTCAGGTTAGTTTAGCTCTCACAGACTTTATCACGTCAACACATTGCTGCTGGTGCTGTCGCGCTGCATTGTTGCTCTCAGGTTAATTTAGCTCTCACAGACTTTATCACATCAACACGTCGCTGCTGGTGCTGTCGCGCTGCATTGTTGCTCTCAGGTTAGTTTAGCTCTCACAGACTTTATCACATCAACACGTCGCTGCTGGTGCTGTCGCGCTGCATTGTTGCTCTCAGGTTTGTTTAGCTCTCACAGACTTTATCACATCAACACGTCGCTGCTGGTGCTGTCGCGCTGCATTGTTGCTCTCAAGTTTGTTTAGCTTTTGCACTTTACAGCTAGCCAATTTTTGGAATCGCAGCTTGACAGTATTATTTACTCCAATATTAGGTATGAACATTTTAGGGAACAATGTGATAATGCACCATCGGTTGAAAGATGAACTAAATCTACTATTGAAAAGTATAAACTCTATTTATGTAAAATTCGTCCTATTTTCAAACAAAATTAACCTCTCCTTAAATTATTTAGAGTACTGATTTATTTGGTATTCATTCTAATTTTTTAACAAAACTTTTTGCTGGCTGCAGACAAAACCAAGTTTCTCAGCGCACGGTGCTGGAAAGCACAAACAACACGACAGTTGGTGGAGGCACTAACAACACCACAGTTAGTGGCACCAACAACACCACAGCTGGTGGAGGGCGACGACGCGAGGTGCCGGTGCCGTACAGGGATAGTAAACTTACCAGGCTCCTTCAAGGGTTCTTCCTGGGCCAAGGAGTAGCCGCCATGATCGTTAACATCTCCCAGTCACCTGCTCTCTTTGATGAGACCCTGCAAGTCCTCAAATTTTCTGCAATTGCTAAGAGGGTAAATAGAGTTGCTCAACAAATGGTGTGGAATTATTGGTAATTACCAGAGTTACTTGTGCTGTGTAAATTACGACCCCAGCTGAACAAATTTTATGAATTACCGTTTCAAGTAGTTAGGCTCACTCACTTATGTGCTTCTTTGAAAAAAGTGAACAAAGTCGATGTGCGCTATAGAAGTCCGAAATTCCTTTGCTTGAGCGCGATTGAAAAGCGATTTGATTTTGTTTTTATTCTCGGTTGATGAATTGTTAAGATTGGAGAAATTATTTACCATAAGAAATCACCAATCATCAATCATGTTTTGTAGCATTTTTATTGTTAGAACCCGAATTTCAAATGAAATTTCTGAATTTGTCGAGTCTTCTTTGACTGGCAGCAGTTTTCATATATGACCTACGGTCAATTCTCATTTAATAAAGCAATTATGCTTTCGATGGCCTACATATCGGAGTCGTGGAATTGAATTGAAGTTGTGACGTAAATATCTACCTACTTTTATTGAACTCTATTGTAAAATATCTACTTTTATTGTTACTTCTCCGCTCTCTGTTGCAGTTCAGACAAAATTCTTTTTCGGGTCATTTTACGCCAAAGAGAGAGCACCAAATGAACTTTAAGAAGATGCTGATATGATCTATATGTAATGTGTATTATACTTGCGTTAAGAATGGGTCTCACCTTAATATAATCTCCTTTAGAACCATGATAATCAATACATACCCAGATTTGTTTTATCCACTTTGTACAAGTCCATTTACAGAATTGCTGATTGTTAAGTGTCTTGTTCGTTTCATCAACTTGAGTAAAACAAGATGTTCTATGATTTCCACCAAATACCCTATATTGTTCCCTCAAAGCGTTTCACCTCTTATAGGTGATAACATGCCAGGAGCAGCCGGTCCACAGCTTTGACGCAGCCGTGCGCAAGAGCAGCGCTGGAGGGCAGCTCACTCGCCTCATTCGGCAATCACTGAACAAGTCTTACCGCCAGCGCGGCCAGCGGTCCTCTGTGTCACTGCTACATGGCGGGGACAGCAGAAGTGTGGGGCGCCTGTCTGTTCCTTGGCTCGAGAACAGCGTTAACGTCACTTTTGGGTTAGATATGTTCGGTGCAATTTTATGGTCAGCTAAATGCTTCACTTATTACAGAACTTGTTGAATGGTTATTTATCCGTTCAGATATGATAGTTTGTTTGACGGATGTCTTGAGAGCTTATTTCTGTGAGTGCTGGTATTTCTTCAGGCCACTCAGGAATATTTTTTATCGCTCATTTTCATATAAAAATGCCATTTTACGGGAATTAGTGTAATGGAAAAAGAATTGTGTTTTAATCGAAAGTAATAGCCAGCCAAACATCACATATTGGGTGGCGCTTTTGTACAAAGGCTTGTAAAGTGTCCCCAGCCATGACCATCATTGGTTCCATGTTTTTTGGCATCAGACCATTCATTTCAGTGAGTGGCACTTTCAGCTTGTCCAAAAATTGTTTAGTGTTAGCAAGCAAATCCATATGTTAATTATTATTGAATTATTGTGATGCTAACTACGTCTGAGTGGTAACATTGTGGTTTACTAACAAGATTTTTGTTTACTTTGTGACAGTGAGGAAAACCACGAAGACCCGAATATGCTCGCCGTCCCTGAGGAAGCTGACGAAGAAGAGGAGGATGACGACGAGCAGATGAAGGTGAGTGCAGGTTCAGGTGAGACGTGCAGGCTCAGGCGAGAAGTGCAGGCTCAGGCGAGATGTGCAGGCTCAGGTGAGACGTGCAGGCTCAGGCGAGAAGTGCAGGCTCTCAGGCGAGATGTGCAGGCTCAGGCGAGATGTGCAGGCTCAGGCGAGAAGTGCAGGCTCAGGCGAGACGTGCAGGCTCAAGCAAGTGCGTGTTGAGTTTAGTACGGACATCGTCTGCCTGCTTGGGATCTTGGTAGGTCGGTGAAACGTTTCTCACTTGGACGTTCATTACACCAGGAGCGCTTCTTTCATTCTCGTGTCTGAAGCAAATATCATTTCTCCCGCATCCCTCTGCATTATTATTGTTACAATGCTTCCGTATTAATTCAGTTTACATTTGTTATCAGCTTGAGTGAGAGTATTTGTCATAGAATTTCATCTATAATGTACTATAGAAAGTTGAATGCGAAATAAAAATAATTTAGTGTCGATACTCATTTGTGTGTCATGGACTATCCATTATACGTTCAAGTGTCACTTCATGCATTCGTGGCTATTTAAATCCTTGACTTGCAACTAGGAGGGGAAACATTTCTTTTTGCATTTACAGTCCAAACTTGATAGTTTAATGCTATGAATATAACCCTGTATAACTATTGCTGTGTGCTTCTATAGGCTCTCCTTAAACACATGCATAAACTCAAAAAACTTTATCGAGTTTAATGCTATGAATATAACCCTGTATAACTATTGCTGTGTCTTTCTACAGGCTCTCCTTTAACACATGCATAAACTCAAAAAACTTTATCGAGTTTAATGCTATGAATATAACCCTGGATAACTATTGCTGTGTCTTTCTACAGGCTCTCCTTGAGCACATGCAAAAGCTCACCGACGCCCTCGCACGCGTCAACCAAGAGAAGAAGGACCTCGAGGTGCGGCTGCGCTCCCAGCTCTGCTCGGAGTTCTCCAAGCAAATGATCGAAGTTGAGAACAACTGGAGGTAAAATATACCCATCATTTTCTCAACACTAGTTATTGCAATTACTTATGAAAGTCTCATTGCAATTCAATCTGGTAAAATATGAGACGTTCCGCACCATTGTTGATGATCTTTTCTAAAATTACTGTGCCCAATCCATATTACTTTTAAAAGATGAGCGATACTATTTTGTGTTGATACGAGTCGAGGATGTCTTTCGAACGGATATATTTAAAACGCTCTTCATGGTGAATAAATTGAACAGAGCAAAACATGGTAGCAAATTTGTAGAGTTAATAAAAAAGAGCTCAAATGTGATTCATGACGGAATATTCGGTGGTAAACAAATGTTGGTAATTGCCACTTTTATATTATATTATATATGCTTTTATATTATATTATATGCTGGCGTTTTATGAAAAAATTGTATTACAGGCAACGTCTGGATGACCAGAAAGCTCGCAGCGACGAGCACCACGACTGGCAGATCGCGCGGCTCACTGAGTTCTATTCTAGCGGCGCTCAGCCGTGCAAGAGAGCGCGCCCTGATGACACCATCGCCTCCAACTCCTCCGCTCTAGAAGACTCCATCTTGCAGTTCCGACAGTCTCGCATGGAGGTGTGATATCTTGGTGACTTAGAGTGTATGGCAGGATGCGAACCTGCAAACAATGCTCTTTATTAGCGAGAACGATTTCTTGACGCAATAAACTTAATAACAATGTATTGCTAGTTTTAGTTTTTACTTTTTAAAGAACAACGCTAGCTAGTTTTAGCAAGCCACTTCAGTAAGCTTCCGACATGAAATGAAAATGGACAAAAAATACTTAAATGAAAAGAAAATATTTACTGAATTTTTTTATACCTTAAATCTGTGGATACGAATCGCTAAGTTTTGGTATTCTCTATGTATTAATTACAAATTTCTTCTTATTGTTTGCCCTTCCAAACGACTTTCATTACTACGATTCAAAACAAAAACACAACATAAATAAATCTAATCATTAATTTATGAAGAATTTTTTTTTTTAATTATGAATTTAAATTTCCAACACTCTTCAACATGAGGTATACAGTACTTTCATTATCAGGAAATTATTCACCTTTATAGTGATTTTGTTCTAGAAATAATTTTTTTCCTCCGAGTTCAGCCATTTTTTTTTTTTTTCATGGAAGACTTTGTAAGTTGTAGCAACAGTGCTTTTCCTGCTTGCAAGCGAGGTTGTGATGGCCAGTGTTCACAGAACCGTTAATGTTAACACGAGCTTGAATTTCTCACAGGAGCTTGAGTCCCAACTAAACGACGTGCAGGAGAAGCTTGCTAGCCGTGACGCACAAGTCGAGACCTTGACTGCCACTCTGAAGAAAAGTAGTGAAGGAGGACGGAAGGCGCAAGAAGAAATTACTAAGCTGCAATTCCAGCTTGCCACTCTCACCAACAGCTACGATCAGCTGCAGAGAAAACTCGTGAGTTGCTTGTTGTTCTGAGAAGCATATTATTCTAGAATCTAGATTAATCTTATCGCCAGCAACACCTTTAGAAAATGCAAAATGGTACTTTGTATTTAAGAACTTATCATTGAAAGTTTATTATGAGAGTTCACACAGAAATGTCATTTCCTTATTTGAATCTTAGGAGCTGCGTGTTTTTGATTTGTGTATTAATTCAGTGAAACGTTTTAAATTGTAAAATTAATATGTTATGCACCGCCAGAAGCCTGAAACGAAGGCTAAATTTGGTCAACTAAATGCAAGCACAAGAACGACCCACTGAATCGGCATGAAAATCTTATTTTATGTTTATGATTCTTTTGTCTCACGTTGCCAAAACGAATTTTACCTCGTTACATTTAACTTCTTTAGGAACATTCAGAGAAGATAGCAGAAAGTGCTGTGCCGGAGACCGAGGCACTTCTTGGTCTGCAGAAACAAGTTGCTGAACTTGAAGACGCTCAGCAGCAGCTGAACGCAGACCTGCACGACAGCAGGGAGATGTTAGTTGAGGCCGCCAACGCGTATGCTCTCAAAGAAGAGGAAGTCTCCAGCCTATCTTGTGAAGTCGTCTCACTCCGACAGGCGTTGGCTGAGCAGGTTATCTTTGTTGATATGCTACAATGTTTATGCCGGTGCATCGTTCGGTCTAAATCTCTCAGTGTATGCTTTGAGAAATTTCATTGGCTTGCATGTTAATTGTGTGTTGTACGTATGTGCAAGCCTATTTTTGTGAACATATTCATGTACAAATTTCCGTAGTTGTAATCGAAATTGATGTGGTTTTTCCAAGTAGAATGGATTAGTAACTACTGAAACATACTGCCATTGCTACAAATAAGTTGTCTCTGCTGAGGCGCCTTTTCATTTGTGCTTGAGTGTTGAATTCTCTTCTCAAAATATTATACTGATGTTTGGACAGTCAAATGCTTTTTATTTCAAACTGCTAGAACAGCTCGTAAGCATAGTATACATGACCAGTTTATTATTGCTTTCATGTGCTCCTTTGATCAGGCTAATCTGCTAGAACAAGCGCAAGAAGAGCTTAGTGGCGCTCAAGAGCTTGCCAGCGAGCGCACACGGGCCTTGGAAGAACGAGAAAGCGCTGTGGAGGACATGCAGCTACAGTTAAGCAACACAAGAGAGGTTAGTTCGGCTTGAGCTACGAGATGTTTATGAGCTACGTTATGATTATTATTGTCCAGATTTTATGCTTGCTGAGAACTAGCACGCTGTTATTTCATGATGTAGGCTATCATAGCCTTCACTAACATGGCTTAAGCAAATTTCTCATGACTATGTTCTGCTTGATGAACGAAAGATATTTGGCAAGCTTTGGCCCAGAACTGAAATTCATTGATTGAACACCAAACTTATAGTATGCGTGATTGTTACGGTAATGCCTTTTATGTTCATGCCATATTTGCCCAGATCGTTCGTCAGCTACGACAGAAGCTCAAAGCTTCTGAAGAGCGTATCGCCGAACTGGCAGCTGAGAAACAAGAAGCTGAGAATGCGCTGGTCAGGTGAGATGAACGGTGATTCATGCAATTCTTTGATTGAAATTACTTACCAACTTACATCCAGTTTCCATTAAATCTTACTTGTGTGTTCAATACTTACGTTATTATGCAAGATGGTTATATTTTTTTTGTTGAATTTTGTTGTAATTTGGCACTTTTCAAGCACACTTAGTTCATGGTTATTCAGAAAAGTCTTTCTTAGTCATGAAAGTTTTAATTACGATATGCATATTACCACGAGTACTTTGCCTCTTCATGTTGATGGGAAGGCATTCCTTGTGGATTAGGGAGGAAGTAGGTACTCATGTAAAGCTGAATTAATTTTGACTGACAGTTTACATCACATCTTGTCTAATTTTTCCATTCGAATTTCTTGTGAATTGACTTACTACCCGAGCACAATTGTCATACGAATGTCATTTGTGCAGAGACAAGAGTAAGCTTCTAGTCGAGATGGCAGAGATGAAGAATCAATTGACAGACTATGTTGCTTCTCCTGGTCTTCCAAAAAAAGTTTTACAACTGCAGAAAGCAAATAAAGATTTTCAGGACCAATTGTGTGCCAATCAGTTGGAACTGAAGCGTTTGCAAGGAGAAAACCAAAGTGCCACGGAAAAAATTCTAGAACTTGAGAAAGATTTCTGTAACATCCATTCAGAGTTGAAGGAAAGAGACAGTCAATTGGCCGACAAGAATAAGATACTTGATGAAACTGTTCGCTCCTTGCAGGAGAAGGAAGAAATTATTTCTGACCTTCAAATTAAAATTGGTGCAAATATTAACGAAACGAAGCGTTTAGGACATTTGATTAATGAAAAAGAAGAGAAAATCAATGTCCTCTTGTCACAACTTCAAGAAGCCAATGGCGAGCTTGCGAGACTCACTGAAAAAGGACCCACAGGTGAAAACGAGGTGGCAGCACGGGAGCTATCGGGGCATGAGCTGCGTGCTCGGCTTGACGCAGCAATTGAACGAGCAGCTGAGGCTAGTCGCCAACTGGATGTCATGCGTGAAAAGTATGAGGACTTGGAAACATCTGCAGGTGCATCTAATGAACAGATGGTAGCTTCCTTCAGGCGCTACGAGGAGAAGTGTTTGGAGTTGGATGCAATCAAGAGACAATTTACTGGACACCCGATTGATATCAGTAACAAAGACTCGGCTTTGATTGATGCCCGGACCAAAATTTCGCAGCTGGAAGCTCTCCTACAGGAAAAATCCGAAAAGTTGCTCAGGATGGAGAACATTAAGAACGAGAATAAAAGACTATCTTCCTCTCAGAAGAGTGGCGTTTTTCAGCAAGAATCGACGCGTGAATCACATCTCAGTAACATTTTGGAAAGACTTGAGGAAGAATTAGAAAATAGTGAAGCAAAGTGCGAAAATCTAACTCAAGTCAATAGGAGCTTATTAAAAGAAAACCTCGAGTATGAACAGAAGCATGCGACTGAACGGGAGAAGTTGTTAAAACAGCTTGAGGAGGCTAAGAAGGTGCATATCAGTGCCACGCGGTATAAGGATTGCGAATTAGCCAGCGCAAAGAAGGAATCCGAAGATGCGCGTCATCAGGCCGCAAAACTTCGTGAGGAAAATGCTGCGGTCGAGAAAGAACTAGCCATGCAAGCAGCTGAACTTGAAAGTCTTTCTTCAAAACACGATAGTCTTGTTACGAAACAACAAAATCTCGAACAAGAATACAACAGTCTTCTAACAGAACGAGACAGTCTTGTGACAGAACGAGACAGACTTGTGACAGATCGAGACAGCCTTGTGACAGAACGAGACAGCCTTGTGACAGAACGAGACAGACTTGTGACAGAACGAGACAGCCTTGTGACAGAACGAGACAGACTTGTGACAGAAAGAGACGGCCTTGTGACAGAACGAGAAAAACTTGTAACAGAACGAGACGATCTTATTGCAGAACTAGACAGAAAAGTTTCTGAATGCAATGCTATCATACATGGAAAGGAGAGTGAACTGACAATTTTAAGTCAAAAAATCGAGGCTGGAATTTGCGAGAAGAAAGTTTTTAGCGACGAAGTTGATCGTCTGAATTCATCTCTGCTTGAAAACAAAGAAAAAGTGGCTATCCTGCATGAGCGAATTTCCAGTCTTCAGGAATTACTGCAGAAAGCAACTGCTACTCACGACGCAAAATTAACTGCGGTGGAAGAAGAGAGACAAAAACTTTTAGATGCACTTCTCGAGGCACAAGGCAATTCAAAAAGCGCTGCGGATGTGGATTCCGAAAAGTTTTTCAAGTTGAAAGATGAACTCAAACGTAGCAAAGAATCGTGCCAAATTCTGCAAAAGGTAAAAATTTTGAGTAGTTCTTATTTTTAACTGTGGCTGCAGCGTTTGCTTAATCTCATTTGCAACAATGTACAAATATACATTTTTAAAAATATTCATAGACATTGCGAAATATTTTTAGCCCAATGAAAATTTGTATGTCAATTATTGTTAATGCTTTTTCGAGCATGAAAAGAAATTAGTGATGAACCTCTCTTCTCTGCAAGACACTCAGCCGAAAAATTATTCTTTGCACTTTTATCAAGAGAATATTCTCGAAAATCAGGAAATTAAAACGAATTATGGAACATAACAAAAGTTAATTTGATAGCATCATAGTTGATTTAAACAACATTGCCATTTGTTTAAAGCCTTCAGAATAAATTCTCGGACGCTCCTAACACCGGCCGCATTTTTAGTCGTAGATGTTCAACATCTACGAATATTTTTTAATTCTGAAATCGTGATAAAAACTTGTGTCGTGCTTTCTACAGAGTGCTTTTTATTATTATCCTATTTGTGCCGTAAATTGCATTCAAGTGTCATTAAATCAAGTAGATCGCTCATAAAAACCCGACGTGTAATTTATCGCGTGTATTGCTACTATTGCAGGAGATGACGGCTGTGCGGGAGGCTCGCGCCCTGCAGGTGCAAGAGATGAGCGATCTACGCGCCCAGCTGTATAAGCTGCAACAAGCCTCCTCCAGCAAGGACGAAGAGATTATCTCTCTACAGAATGGTTAGCAGTCGACTGCTTTTTCTGCTATGATGGGTTTTGATCAGATTCTATGGAATCAACGTGTTCGTTCGTATTAGGTTCTAAAAAGCCTGTCTTCTGATCAGATTTTATGAAGTATGTGTTCTGATCAGAAGTATGTGTTCTTCTGATTTTAAGAAGTCTATGTGTTCTAATCGGGTTCTACGGAATCGATGTGATCTAGGTATGCGTATGGTTGTAAGAAGTGCGTGAGTTTTCATCTTCAGATTCTAATTAATATATGACGTGTTCAGGTTATTTCCAGGTATTCATATTAATTGCTCAGGTTCTGGTTTCGTGGTTCATTTACGCACCGCGACGCGCAGGTTGAATCATTTCTCCATTCTTTCAAGATCAATACTTCCATACATTAACAATGGTGCGATTTTACACTGCACTTAACTTAACTTGAACGAGGCTTCAAATTAGGTTTTTGAAAATTTGAAGTGTATCCACTTAATTTAAATTGGTTATTTCATATAATACGTTCTGCATCGATTTTTCACTAGGCTGTTTGGTATTAGTTTCTCCAGCATTGTTTTAAAAAATTCTAATTTCTGCAGTAATTTAAGACACAGATGCTAACCTAATTATCAACGCATATATGTTTATAAAATACTTCTTCACATTGTGTGGGATGTCATGTAAAGCTTTTCCTAAACTGAGCAGAAGTAAAGAAAGCTCTGGCAAGCCACGTGATGCCGTCAACAGCTGTGGTGGCGAGCCCCGCTCCTGCCAAGATTAAGCAGGAGCCTTCGTGCGAGGAGATGCTCAAAGAACAGCTCAGGTGCGCTCATTATTGACATGTGCGATTTTTCCGTGATTTGCCCTGCGTTCTTTAACCATAAAACTTGCACAATCGTTTGTCTTGATGCGATATTTAATTGCTAATATTACATCTAACGAACGAGTTTGTGCCGTGTTAAAACGTTTCTCAGCTCTCGTACTCTGCCTTGGGGAAACTAAATTAACTGCATTCATCTCTTTCTAGTTAAACTTGTTGATAATTTAGCCTACCTTATTGTTCTCCTTCACTTGAAGCTTGCGTTAACTCGCTTGCTTACAAGATATGCTTTATCGACGATATTACCAGGTTGGGCGTGTATAATTCATGTCATTTACGTAGTTATACTTTCACCTGACGTAAAGAGGACCGAGCATTCCTAGAATATATCTAATGAATAATTCGGCAACCTATTTAATAGATAAGTTCAAATTATGGAATGGGAAACGGAAGACTAATGCAAACTTTGGACTATTGGGAGCAAGACACTACGTGGTAAATAGATTAGTTTACTAACTTTCCTTGTAGTTGCCCTTCTGTCAGTTAATCAATTGATTTCAATTGAGTTCAATACAGTTCAATTGAGTTCAATTTTAACTCCTTTTTTCTTTAATTACGCTCGTATCTTTTACTTTGCTCCTTTGCTCACTTTATAATGTATATGCATTTCTTCAATGTTTCCTCGAGTTTTATGTATCATGGGCTTGATGAGAGCCTGCAAAAGCTTCCAGCATAATTATAATTCATTTGTCGTGTCAGGGCGAAGGACGTGGTTGTGTGCGACTTGCTGGCACAGTTGTCGCTGGCGCGCGACCAGTCAGCTGACACGACCACAGCCGCGTCTGTCAGCTCACCTCCAGCGTGCGAGACACCCTTCCTAGCGCCGCCTTCCTCCAGCGCCCACAAGGTTATACCAAGTCCGCCGCCTGCACTGCATTTACTTATTGCTTTGACATTTTTTCTCTGGGGTTTATACACGAGAAAATTTCGCAAGTTGATTGTATTCTGGTTTTTATGGTTGGGAACTGGTTAAATGACGAGTCGCAAGTATTTCTTTTATGTTGTTAGTTGTGTGCTTATAGTTATGGAACAGTCACTAATGTTTTTCATTAAGTTATTGATGATATATTGATGGTGATTATTAAATAATCACGTATTTGGGCAGTTGCTGAAGTGACTAAAAGGAAAGCAAAAGACACAAAAATTGTATAAATGCTGTAAAAGAATTTAATGTAATGGATTTGATTTCAAGACTGTTATAATCTACTACATCTATTTGACAATCCTTAGTAAATACTGGCTATTTAAGCAGTGGTTACCAAAGGTCATGCCACTCATTTTAATCAGACAACAGCTGACGTCACACTGATCCATAAAGTCGCCACTGCATAGTCGTGACATAGGAATAAAACTTGCTGTTAACGCCACTTCAAGATGGTATTCTCGTACCGTTTGGAAAGTTCCAGAAATCGTTTTTATTTCCTTGTTAGGAGAATGACGTCGTTATTTGAAAGTTAGAATTACCTGCCAAACATGTTGATTAAATTGTAACACGATCTCGTATATCTTGATAAATGATATTCTTGTATTTTATCTTTCGTGCGATATGTTTGCATCATCGGCTGATAGTACATCTGGTGTGCCTGCCTTACTGCTTCAAGCAGCCCGTTTTTACAATTTATTTTGAATTTTAATTTTCTTTCATTTATTCTTTTTGTATAAATTCTGCACTGTCCATTCCTAATTACTCGTATTTCTTAATTCTTGTTAAATTATTGTGATTACTTGTACTTGACGATTTGATTCAAGACTTCATTGTGATAAATTATTACTGTTGCCTTCTTCTTGACGATTTAGATTTAATTTAAGACTGCATTATGTTAAATTATTGTTGTTACCTTTTACCTGACAATATAATTTAAGACTTCATTGTGATTTAAAGGTGACCAAAGTTGCGACACGCAGCGAGAGTGATTCATCCTTTGCCAGCACCCCTGCTGCTTCAGAAAAGAAGAAACGCGGGCGCCCGAAAACATTGCAAGTTCCTTGCTTGCAGGTAATTAGTTTGTCATAATAATTGTTTTCTCTTAATAATATTCCGGGACACTTGTTCAATGCGAAGTTGAACGTATGTTCTTCAATCCTTGTCGGTCTGCATAGGTACAACTTTACCCATGCTACCAAGTGTTGTACCTGTACTGCAGGAACTGTTGTACCTGTACAACACTTGTACTGTTGTAAAATTATGCAGTGTGACCGGGCTTAATGTTGCAGGAAGCCACGTCTCTGAGCTCCAGCACTCGGCGATCCACCCGCAGGACTCGTGCCTGTGTTGCATTTACTGCCATGGACACCGTGAGTGTTGGAAATTTTATAGCCAGTCAGTTAATAATACATATGAATTTTCAACAATTTTGAATAATTAAGTTTTTTCTAGCCTAGCTTCTCAAGAGAATCTGTCATAAAAATTGTCCGAGAGTAGTTAATGGACACAAATCTTCCTGTGATTACTAGCAGATCTAGTTAACTACGAGTTCACTGTGTCACTGAAAGCTTGCCTCAGACGCTGAGTCAACAGCTTATACAGCATATGTGTCACGCCGACAAGAACACGGTGAACGGAAGTACGAAGTTTATAAAAGTGCTGGGAACCTTAGTAGGCAACATTTGTTCGAGCCACTTCGACCTGACGGTCGACGTATACATACATATACATGTATTATAACTCTCGTGTATAGCCACCCCGTATCAAAAAAATAAGTTTTCTACACCGAAGTTGTCTTATTTACCTCTCATGTATTTAGTCAACGAATCCCTGTCCTCAGGTTCATGTAGAAATATTATAAGTCTGGAGGCGCATAAACGTGATTTCGGACAAGTGTGTTATATATTTCTACCTGAACCTGAGGACAGGAATTCGTTGACTAAATGCGTAAGGGATAAGTAAGACTCCATCGCTGTAGAGACCTTATCTTGATACGGGGTGGCTATGCACGTATGAGAGTTATAATACATGTATAGCATAAGACGTCAACCGTTAGTAGTAGCGTTACATTGCAGCGTTCTTGTCAGCTTCTGGGGGGATGGGCTTACTAAGGTTCTCAGTTCTTTGGTACAATCGAACTTCCGCCCACCGGGTTCTTGTCCTCGTGACATATGCTATATAAGCTGTCGTCTCAGCGTTTGAGGCAAGCTCTCAGTGACACAGTGGACTCGTAGCTAAACTTGTCTGCTGGTAAACACAAGAGGATTTGTATCCTCAAACTAATCTCGGGTAAATTGCCGAAAATATATATCAATATCATACTCATGATCTGTTATCTTTAATGTAACATTCGATGCCATATCAAGCCATAGAAATTAAGATTAACAATATACAATCAGATTATGGAATAGGATATTTTTCAATCACAGTGCTTTGTGATGGGAATTCCTTCGCTTTGGATTTTGGTTCTATGGGATAGAAATAAAAACTATACGTTTTAATTTAATCTATTTACTTTGAAGATATTTACATGTGTTGAAATAAGTACTGAATACTAGTCAAGTTCATTATGGTTATTATGTCATCTGAATGTATCGAGTCGAAGTTTTGTTTATGGGATGTAATGTGTCGAATTCTCTGATGGCTTGGTCATGCACGTGTTTCATTCTTTCGGCATCAAAGTTCAGATTTCGGAAATCAATGAAAGTTTATTTCCATCATAATATATTAAATGATTCGAAATATCGTTGCTCCTGGGATTCCATGATTAGCTTTTCTTGGTTTACAAACGGCATTCGTACACACTTGCTCAGTTTATTGATATAAAATCGTTTTTATTTAGTTGTGGATTAGAGTGCGTATTGCCCAAAACTACGCAGTATTACGTACAACTTATATTTCTATAAATTTAAACAGATTAAACCTGTTTAACTTGAATAACTGTGCCAGGATGACAATGCCAGTGATACAGAAGAGGAGTCGCCTGCTGGCAGCTACAGCTCCTCCCGCAGAGGCCGGCGAGGCACCGCGTCTAACAGGCGCACGACGCACACTAAAAAACCACGTGAACGGCTCGTCAATCCTCACCTCGAAAGCAACAAGGAAAATCGAATCAGGTTAGCGGACAAACATCTGCTATTGATGGTAGCCACTGAATAGTTCTTTCACTTCAAGTTCTGCTTTACTAATGGTCCAAAATTCTGATTTATTTAGCACCTCAAGGTTGCTGAACGAGAAAAAGGTATTATTAAAAAATGAAAGTATGAAACATTATTTGAAAATTATATGATTCATTTCAGTACTTTTAGTAATCGCTGCGTTTTTTTTATCTGATTTTTCGTACGGTACTCCTGTTCTTATGTTATGGGCATCTTCATATATTATTCTTCGTAGATTGCAGCCGTGAGAATATTCGTCCAATGTTGGAATCAGAGTCGGCATTACATTTTGTTTTTTTCTTCAGCATGGCTAACAAATACGAGAGCGTTTCTGAAGCGCTTGATGCTGCTAAATCAATGCCTAAATCGACACGCGGCCGACGCCGTCGTCAGTTGTACGAGGAAGATGTCGATCAGCCGCTCTACTGTTCTCCACAACTTGTGAGTGACCCGGATTATGGCCGACACTAAAATCTCGTATATTTACGGAGTTAAGTTTATGTCAGCTTTAGTTTTCCCTTTCTTTTCTTATTTTTTCTAGGTTAGTACTAAATATTTTATACCGTTTCTCGTTTTTTTGCAACTACCGGTATTATTGGCAATAGACTACTTTACTAATTCATCCCTACGGACTTGCCATTTTTTCGGAGGCAAGGAGGCTTGCTGGTCTCGGTGAAACTTGAACCTACGCGGTCCTCCAGGCAAACTGAGACCGAGGACTAAGCTGGTGTAGATCTCTGTAGTTGGAGCAAGAAAAATAATGAGTTTAATGCTTACGTTCGAGTGTCAAGTGGCACGTAAGATGAGGTTATATCTTATGAAATTTAGCACCTCCGGCTTCGAGTTGGCTGCGTTTTCCAGAGGCTCTAGAAAACTTGCTTCGACTTGCTTGTTCAGGAATAAATTTTGGATCTTATACTAGCATAATTATATTTTTTAGTACTTGAAAATATTTTTAAACAAACGAATATCAATTTTATGGCATTACGGAGATACCGGTGCATTTCTGAAGATTAGGATCAATTTCTATAGAGATCGTAGTGAATTGAAATTATTTGATAAATAATAATTTGGAACGATATTCATCGATTCTATTATTCGCTAGAAATGTTGCAGTCGATATTAAGTGACATAATAAACTGAATTCCATTAAATAGTTAGTTTACTTCCGAATACTGAATGATAGATTCCTGCGTTGATAACATTTGAGGGTATAGACATTTCGTTTGTAGATGATTTATTCATGCCAGATACGAAACTTTCCTGTTGACTGATCTTGCTGGTGTTACAGATCGAGCCCATGCCTCCTGTTGACTCGCCTCACACAGCTGTTAGGCGGCACTTGAAAGCTCAGCCCAAGTGAAAGGAAGAGGGGATGCGCGCTGCTGTGACGGCCGCCGCTGCTTCTGCAGCAGCTGCTGCTGTCCCCGTCTTGTGTCTCTATTTGGTTGCAGAACTCGTACAGCTGCTTTAAGTATCATTTCGCAGGGACAGGGTTCGTTTTACCTGTCACTATATTTGATTGTTCTAGTTTGTGTTCGTTGCAATTGACTCGGTGCTGCCGCGCCAAGAAACCCTATTGCTTGCGACGGGATCGGCTTAGCCCAAGTTGGAGGGTTGATGTGCTGTGAATTTGCTAATGGACTATTCTGCATCAGTAGGCATTCGTGCAACACTTTATTCATAGCAGTTACTTCATGCCTTACCTGATTCGGTTACTATAAGTCGTATGCTCTTCGGTATGGATTCCAGAGAGGGCGACAAGGAGACTTGCGCCCTTTTCCAGGGCGCTAGTTTCTTCCGCTTCTGTTCATAAATATTAGTTCATTGTAAACATGAGGCTTAAGTTCAATCAAGATTTTTTCTGTAGTGTAGTAAACTTTTTTTAAGAATTCATGTTTGTCTTTGAATTATTTTTACTGATTAATTCATTAGAAGCCGCATTAACTCGTGAATCTTGAAGTAATTAGAATCAAATATTTTATATCGAAGGATGATTTTGTTTGATTCTTACCGAGTGTTCCTTGCATCGATTAACTTGCATTTGTCACGATCTCTCACAATGCGCATCTTCCATTTCCTTTGACTTCCTTGTTTTCACTGGGATTGCAGTACATTATCTACGAATTTTGTCGAACCGTGGATGTCAACTTTCTTTCTCCCAAAGGTGCATTCAATGATTTCCGTAACAAACGACTAAGCTGAAACTATTCTTATTAGTGTCATGAGAAGTAGGGTTTGAGGTTTGCAAATATTATACGAGTCTTTTTTTCTCGTCTTTGTTTCCTTGCACAAACTCGGAGTTACCATCAAGATGTCTTTGTTATTGTTATGATTCGATCTACTTAAATCAAGGCTTCGCCCATTGCAGTAATAATGTAGATACAGAAAAAAGTTATGAGCATCGATGTTGCTTGAAATGAGCTCTTCAATTTAGTGAGTTGAAAGTAATAATATAGATACAGAAAAAAGTTATGAGCATCGATCTTGCTTGAAATGAGCTCTTCAATTTAGTGAGTTCTATCGTACAATCTTGCAAATACAATTTGATGATGTAGGTGTTGCAGAAAGTGTTTTTCACTTTGGTTCAGGATTCAGTTGATTATTAAGTTGTCGAATTTATTATGAATTTCTATCCAGCACGATAGACTGTAGGTGGTAGGCATGCTTGTGATGGCTTGAAATTATGTGCATTTGTTTGTTCTATCGATTCACTTTATCCAAGGACCAGTTACGTCTAAGACTATGAACTCGTCTACGGCATTTTCGCCGAGTGTTCGACATCTTCGGGTTGACGATGTTGCTCCGGCAAATTTGTTCATCAGTCCTTCCCAAATTCAATAGCTAATTAAAGAATTGGTTATCATATACGTAATAATTATGCAGCTTATATTAAAACTTTACAAATTTTTACACACCTAGTGCTCTTTCAACTGATATCAGCGACTTCATAGGTGCCATCGGTTGTAGAAGAATTGTTTTTAAAACTGATAAGTTGAATGCCTGAGTTTATCTAAAGGATACTGAGCAAGATCATTCAATATACATTCAGAACTAAATTTCTTCTGAGGTATCAACCTGCAGAAGACGTGACAACATCAACCCAATAGCGCTATGAATGTTAATTACATGGCACTGCATTAAAATTCCTGCATCACAATAAAATTAGTAACATAACAATAATTTACATGGTACATCACAGGCAAGTAGCTGCATGGCAAAAAAGAGGATTGCTCTGGGTCCAGAGGTACAGGTTTCGGATTGAAAACTGACGAACAAATAAAAAAATATTCTGTTTGTTAAGCCTTCAATTCTGTTCGAAGTAACCAAGAAATTGAAAGCTAAGGGTATTTTGGAAACTGAAAGGTCGCTATCCTGCTGGAAGTCAAATGCACAGATGTCCAAATGATCATTATTACATTTCAGCACGATCAAAATTATTTTTAACGAATCGAGCACGAACTTGAGTGGTAGAGTGCACGAAAATACAAATCTCGCATACATGACTAATAATGGAGCCAGTCTTGTCACTAGTGATTAGTGAGTAGTTCTAAGAGTAAATGTTACTAGATAGTTAATTGTGGCGCTAGCACGTTACTAACACTTAACTCATCACATAAAATGGCAACATGAAGAGGAAGCCGCAATAACTACAATGAAGGTGGACTTCATGCACAAAAAGTTTTTATAATTAGGCTTCATACATCAAGGTAAAGCAGTAGCTGAACTCGAGTAAACTATTGGAAATCGTCTAGGGGGCGAGCGACGCTCTTAGCTGTTTGACATCTAAAAGGTGAAGTCTCGTGAGTATGATCATCAAAAACTATAATAGGAGAAAAATATAAAGGCGGTGGAGAGTTATCTCCCAGACTCAATTCGTTAGAATAACCAAGATTCCATTGGAAAAAGGAATTAAATGTTCTCGTAGCACACAACTGTAGAGCTGATCTTAAACATGCGTTGATTGCACAAGGAAAGTATGAACCGTATATACATAATACAAATATAACAACAGATGAAAGGATGAAATGAGTTATGACTTAGTGGTAAGCATTTTCAGATAGCACGTGGAAATAAATAGCGCGACGTATCTATGAAGCGGTATAGAATTAATATACACTCTAAATGACTGACTATTCATGAAATGCAAGTTATGTAATATTCTATACAAGAAGAACGTTTATGCCCAAATTACAATAGCAGCTTGCGGGTGATAAAATAATCTATCTTGGTGCCGCAGTATCCACAGCAATTTCAGGAGGTAAATCAGCTGCATCAGGGAACGATGGCGACCTGCAATTTGAAGGCGAATCGTCTGCGACCAGACCATTCATTTCTACACCTACAGCATGGCTATAAATTATGGACGGCGAAGAGTAATCGCTAGGACGGTATCTCTTGCCTTGATTTATTCCGTTAGGAAGCCGCTCGTGATCAGAACGAGCACTCAATAAACTTGACATATATTGAGGACTCCCTGATCGGCAAGGAGGGCTTGCATCGTTGCCATCCTGAGTAGCAATGCCCGCACTCATATATTGAGGGCTAGAAACGCGGGAGTACATTTCAGGACTAGAGCTCGGTGCTGAGTCATCTTTACTGCATGCAGCGTTATCAGTGGGTATGAGTTTATTGGAGGGTCTAGAATACGGATTGGGATCTTTAAAATGAGACCTGCAGGGTGATGATGAACGAACTGGCCGCTGCAGACTCGGGGACCGCATGAGGTCGGAAGCGCCCGGGAGAAAATAGCTTAAATTATCAGGGTCTCGTTTGCCGAGTTGATGAGCTTTAAAAGAATGTTTGTGTGGAAGGGTTGTAGTGATGTGACGTCGAGGTAGTATAGACGGTACGGACACGGGAATTGGGCGGTGGCTGGCAGGTCGACGAAGTGTAGCACAACCACCGCTTCCAAAAGTTGAAAGTCGAGGGCGTGAATCTTCGTAACGAGAGTCACTATCTGTTGTCACGCTGAGGCTGCTGCCACCTGCAACAATATGAGCAATCATGAGCAAAAATAGACAAAAGAATAGTCACATGAACCACTACAACAAAAGAAAAATTGTTTCAAAAAATATTACCGACTGATAATTAATCAGATTTTAAATGCATACCTCTGGTCATAGCAGATAAGTGATGACCGTTGTGATCAGCGTAAAGCAAGAGAGCCGAGCTGGCAGTGCTGTGCTGCCCCTCCAAGACGGCTGTTCCAGGAACATCACATGTGCCTCTTTCGATGCCTTCGATCTGCCTCAAGTCTTCGCTGGAGCGTTGACTGGAGTCGCCCACTCCCGAGTCCTTGCCAGTAGAATGTTCCGAGCTCGTGTCCGGCCCAACCAGAACAACATCGGCGCCATGTGTGGGGTCATCAGTTAGTACTATCTCAGTAGTGTTTAGGAGGGGTTCCGCAATAGGCAGGAATGTCTCGTGTCGGGGGGAGCCTAAGGATAACGAGCCCGCATACTGACCCAGTGTGTTGTGACGGCGACGAGCTGACATGCTTCGATCTTTCCTTCTTGAGTGGAATATGATGATGACCCACACCAAGGACGTGATGACAACGCAAACCACCACAGCCATCATTACAAGTCCAAGAGTAGTGTGGCCATCTACCAACAGACCTGAGCAAAAATAATTTATTAATGAGATTCACTGACCAATATTGTTTTTACAAATCCGACAAGAACTCCAAGTGAACTCACCAACAAGGTGAATGTTTACGGCAATTTTTCACCGTAAAAATGTGACTCGCACAATGCTAATAACGCAAAAGCTGATTATATGACTCGCACAATGCACAATGTTAATACAACAGAAGTTAATTTCATAAACATACCGTCAATGACAGATAGGTGTATAGTTTGACGCCGAGTGCCGTATGTGTTGGTGAGTTGGCACGTGTATGTTCCAGCATCTTCAGGCCGCACGTCCATCACGATCAAGAACTGACCACCGTCGGCGTTCACGTGACGACCGGCCGTCGTAAGGACAACGCCCTCGCGCACCCACGATATGGACGGCTCAGGACGACCACCGCCCTAGCCAATCAAACACAATTCATAAGCTTAGTATTAGTATATATAAATTTTCCCTAGTAACGTCATCAAAATTCAACGCAAGAAGCAAAACTTTCAGAACTCAATGGAGACGAGAACAAGAGTATACCAATAATCGAGTAAATAAATGTTATTTGCTCACACTTTCATCAACGCCTGTAGAATTTTTTTTTCAAAATTAAATTCCAACTATAGATATCTTGTGCGCATTCTTTAATAAAAATTAAAACAAAAAACATCGACATGGATTTACTACAGATATGTGGGCACAGCTGCATACCTGACATTGCATGACGGCCGACTCGCCAGGCCTGCTCGTGACGTCACTGACAGGGTGCACGAAGAAGGGTGCCTGCGTCACGGTGATGTTGGCACTGGCTTGTACAACACCTGCAGTGCTCCTAGCAGTGCAAGTGTAGGTACCTTCATCGTGTACCGTGACCGAGCGGATAAAAAACACCGTATCATCAGGCTCGACCACCAAGCGCCGTTCTCGCGCGGCAGGAAAGTCGTCACTGCCGCCTTTCTGTAACGATATTTCTGGAGTTGGCTCGCCATCCGCTGCGCAATCAAGACGCGCGACACCGTCCACCTGAGGAAACATTACATAACATTCCTGAGTTGGCGTTGTTTAGAGAAAATTGTGAGCAAGACAAACAATGCATCATTTAAAATATCGTCGTTAAATACGGGTCTAAGAGGCGGACTTCGGAAGAAATGCATTTCTCACCCGGCGTAGAATTATGATAACGCAAATACTGTTGGATGTTCCAAATAATTTTCAACATATAATAGTAACACTTAACACCACAGTTATAGATGGAGGCCGATACATACCGCCGTATTTATGTTAGAAGGGCGAATGGTGAAATGCGGTTTGACTTGCACTTCGATTAGTGCCGAATCCGAATAATCGACGCCGTGATCGTTGCGCACGACGCACTGGTAGTAACCTTCGTCTCTGTGCTGTACGTTAGACAAGTGTAAAGTTGAGACAAGTTCACTGATGACACCGCCTTCAGGATCAGGTTTGACGACCGTCATTTTCTTGTCTAGTTTATAAGGCTCAACGACCTGCTGGTTACGGCTCCACAGAACGTCGGGGATGCCACCTCTACTGCCAACAAGAGCTTTGCAATGCAATTCAACATCAGCGTCGAGGAGTATGATCCTGTCTTCCGGGGAGCTCTGAATGAGAGGACGCGGAGTGTGATCACAAGACAGTGTTGCACTCTTTAGGTTTTGAATTGATCTGCCGATCTCTCCATTCGGATAGCTGCAAGTAGCATGAAGACGGTCTAAACTGATTGTGGTGGTGTTGAGCCAGTCTTGCACCCACAGCAAATGACAGTCGCACACTAGCGCCGTGGTGTTCATGATCACTTGGCCAGGTTCACCACCTTCGCCAGGCTGTAGATGGCGAAATGGGTTATCATGCAGCGTCCTGATGGCGTTACCACTCAAGTCCAGAAGACTGAGGCGCTCCATAGGCGCAAGAGACTTGTACTGCACGGCCTCGATTGCGTTGTATGAAAGGTCAAGGCGCATGAGCTTCGACAGACCATAGAAAGCCTCACCAGGCTCTTCAACCGGCCACCGCAGATCGTTATACGACAAGTCCCTGCAAGCATGAAAGATTTGTTATGAAATCCACACATTAGTGTTTATAACACTAAAAATTCATGAGTAACAAGATGCACCAATTTCGAGAGGTCACGATTCTAAATTAGTAATTACTCCAAATACCGCAATAAGCAGCCATACTCACAGCTGTAGGAGATGCGGTGTGGACACGAAAGTACGAGGCTGAATAGAACTCAGGTGATTGTGGGAGACGACAAGAAGCTGAAGCTGCTGTAAGCCCTCCAGCGAGCTTGTGTGTAGTGATACCAGTCTATTGTAGCTCAGGTCACTGCACGTACGTAAACCAGAAATTTAATCATCAATCAAAAGATAATATAAAAGCAGATTTAATCATTGTAAACATCAGAACTGATGCGCTGAGCTAACGCTGGATAATCGTGGGAAGTTATTTCGAGGAGACTATGGTGGGACTTGCAAAAATGAATTCCAGATGCGAAGTATTTGAAAATTCGAAGACATATATACTCCCACTCAGCCCTCTACCGCCGTATGTCACTTCGGAAACATAACTTCCAACTGGAATTATACGTAAACTATTGAGTGTAGCAACCTGAGGACGTTTGTACGCAACAGAGAACATTTTAAAGTAACTTTCAACTTTAATTATACGTAAACTATTGAGTGTAGCAACCTGAGGACGTTTGTACGCAACAATTCAAGAGAACAATTCAAGGTAGCACGTTGTGGCAACCATCAGTGCAAGTTATTTTGCGCTCACTAGAACGTATCTTTTGTATCTTTTTTAGGAAGTAGGCTTGTGACAATTTTGCTCCGGTTACTCATGTCAGGCGGTAGAAGGTTAAGAATTATTCAAAATTTTGCAAATTGGAGAAGTAAATTGCAATTTAAAAATTATTTTACATGTTCACTACGCTAATAAACAAATATTAATTAAATTTCGTTAATTAAATGTAAAAAATGTACTTAACTTTAATTTTATTCAAATCCATCAACTTACTGTCTATAATTGAAAAGATATTGTTACTTGTGTCACTTAGCTGAAAAATGCGGGAAAAGCGTAAATTTCGTTGTTCGGGCAAAAACGTTCCTTTCAATGCTCATATTTTAATTTATTAGCGTGGTAAGAGGTGACGGTATGTATGGAACGATGGTCAGAGAATTGATTAGTGATTGGCCGTGGCATGATAACGTAGCCTCAAACACATAACCGGGGCCGTGGTGAGCCTTTTTGTGAGGATCTATGAAGTGACAACTCATGGTAACTTGCCTGCGGAAAGGTTAATGTGCTCCATAAAGTTTTGAAGCAATGCAAAGAAATATTAATTAGCATAGCAGCCAAACGAAGACATAGACGCTCGCGTAAGTTTTTTTCAGAGAACGCTTTTGGTGTGCATTGGGTCGAGCGAAAATATTACTGCATATGAATGAGACTCGAGTATTTGCCAAGAGGTATCTTGATGGCTTTTCTCGAAGTCTCAAAACATTTGTCTATTGTAATCAGAGCATTTGCAAGGCCATGCAGGAAGATTTATGCCTTTCAGTAGGCTGTTTTAGAGCTGTTTGGTGCTGGTAAAACGGCCTCATTTGTTTAATTAGGCTGTTTTAGAAGACGAGATGAAACTGAAGCTTCTCTTCCACAAGGAGATAAATACAAATGAAATGAAATAATGAAACTGGAAGGGGCAAATCAAGTTTCTTAGAACATAAGTGCCACCATAACATGATGATTGGTAGTCAGGTGACTTACAGCGATATGAGTTTGGGGGCGGTGTTCTTCCAGGAATAGGAGTCGATGTTTGAAATCGAATTGTGTCGCAACGAGAGCTCCTCCAGCGACTCCAGACCAAAGAGCCAATTCTTAGTCACCGAAGTCAAGTTATTTTGATCCAGAGACCTGAGGCAAGAAAAAAGATATCTTATGGAATACAACTTTAAACGAGTTAGCGAAGATTTATGTGGAACAACAACACACAACACACGGATGTTAATACTAAATCATGTGGGGAATAATTACAATTACCTCATAACCTACTGAACAAACTTGAAAAATACCGATAAAATTATGGAAATGTGCGTCGAAGTACGGGACGTGATGTACGGACCACAGCACAGTTGCTCAACACTCAAAAACTCGAGCAGCAAATGTTGATGCAGAGCAAACACATTGTTGAACACAACCACGAAGTAAACAGTAGATCACATATTTGGAAGGTGCTGAGAACTGCCGCTAAATTTCAAGCACGTAAGCAGCACTTCGACAATATTCTTAAAGTCACAAGCACGACGAGTAAGCAAGAGTAGCTGAAATTAAAAAAAAAAGAGAATATTTATTTTTTGTGCGACAATCCTAAGAGACAGGTAGCAAATTACCTGTAATATTGAAATTTTCTTCATTTATGCCTTTTCGATCCACAACAATGATGTTAACCATTTGACAAATTGTTTGAACTTGGTACTCATAGCATAAAAGATGTCTGAGACTTTTTATCGCTAATAATAAAGAATACCGAACATTACCTATACCGAACTATCATCGATAAATAATACCGAACTATCCTGCTGCAGATAGTCTCATTTGACGCACCTGCCTTAGGCGGCACGACTGCCCTCAGTGCTCTTAGCCCCTACAGAGCGCGCCGGTAGTATGTAGCCATTTAATTGTAATAATTCAAATCTCCGCAAATCATTGTTTATTTTGCGAGCCAATTATTATGGAGAATCTGTATCCTTCTTTGTGGGCACATTTACCTAATTCGTGCTGGTTTTCATTACGTGGATAATACGTAGGGAGAAGCATGAAAAAATTCTGTATCGTGAGCTAAACAAAAAGGTGAGCTTGACTAGTCCACCAAAATATCAGAACAAAAGATCAAGCTTGACCTGAAGTTTCAGGACCGAGTTAAAGATGCGAGTTGAAAGCACACCTATAGCGATTAAAGCGCGAAAAATGTAGCTGGCAGGGAATTTGTTCCTTACTAGAAAATAGGGAAATTAGTGGAGATTAACCTTGATTGAGATCTACGTCCGATTGACTGCGTTCTCTTGAAAATCTGTTTCCATTGATTAAGATCTGGGTCCGATTGATTAAGATCTGTTTCCGATTGATTAAGATCTGGGTCCGATTGATTAAGGTCTGTTTCCGATTGATTAAGATCTGGGTCCTAATGATTGGATTACGGTCCGATCGATTGAGCTCTGGGTCCAATTGACTACGTTCTAATGAACTTTAGGCCCTTTTTCCAGATTGAATTTTAAGTGGTGACGATAAGCGGATCCTCAACACTTATGTTAAGTCCAAAAGACGGGAGCTAAGTCGTATTTGAAAGCCAATTTCACGACCGAAAGTGGGTTTCACCCTAAGACAGTCTACTTGTGTGTATGGTAGATTTTAGAGCGAAGTGTTTCTCATGAACTAATCGGTGTCAATCAAACAAGAACAACTGAAGTTTTCTGTCAGCAGTTCACACGTCTCAAAGAACTGTCACAGCAAAAATTGCCTTCTCTGATCAATCGGAAAGGAGTGATTCTGCACCACAAAGCTAGACGCAGAACTTAAAGAGCAACCGAAATTATTGTTGAAAAATTTGGCTTGGCGGTCAGGCATTTCTTCCATATTTCAAACTCGATCCAACCGACATTTATCTTTCAAGTAGCGAATAGATAATATAATATGACGAATATAATCAGATTTTAACACAACAGCTCATTCTAAGAAATAAATCGAAAGGCAATTTGGTTTTTCCGAGAGTTCAAGCTGGGTAAATTCACGAAGAAGGAATCAAAAAATTTATGGCAAGATGCAGAGATACAGTATACCTGATAAAATTGGTGTAGAATATTTTTGACATAATTTAATTTTAGTTCCACTTAAATAATAGAGAGAACTCGTTTCAACCGAATACATATGCGGTCATTTCAAAGAGTGAATCAAGTGCAGCATCAATGAAAAAGTTCAAAAGCACGGCGCACTCACAGAGTTCGCAGTCTGCTGAGGCCGTAGAAGACGCCGTCGCCGAGGGAGACAAGTTGGTTCTTGCTGAGCTTGAGCACCTCGAGCGCCTTGCATTCTTGGAAGATCAGACCAGGCAACTCCCGTAGGTTGTTGTTGTTCAGGTTCCTGTAAATATAGCGAACGTTAGTTATGAACTTGGAAATAACCTAATTTCAAAAGTAATCACTAAGAAGAAAGAAGTTTTCAAAATACTAGCTGGAAAACCCAAACAGGTGCTCGGATTACTTTTACTTGCAGTAGGTCAATTGCTAAAAAATTTAGAAATCGGCTGTCCGCCAAAACCGCAGAATTTTAACTAGAAAAGACCGGGGGCAAGTACTAATGCAGTTCTAAGTAGCAATTAGTTGACTGTTGCGCAAGACTCCAAGATTACCTGATTTATACCTACCCAGAATTTCAAAGAAAAACTAAGATCAGAGTAGCACTCACAAACTAGTGAGAGCAGGCAGGTTGTTCAAAAGCTGTGATGACACAAGAGTTTCGGTGGTGATGGCATTCTTAACAAGCTTCAATTCCTGCAGAGAAGGCAGCCCTTGACCCGTCCCTGAGACTCGCGAGATGTTGTTCCGGTCCAGGTTCCTGCCCGTGAGAAAATCCTATTAGGCACTTGGTAAATGCACCTGATTATCGTCACGCAAAAGCGTGTAAATCTGCGACATGAATGCTGTGAAGGCGAATGTGGATGCGCTGTGTGGAGGCGACTAGTACGGCAAACAAGGTTCTATTTATTGTGAAGCCTTCTTAAACGATTACGTTTCACTCACCGCAATATCATTTTTAGCTTCATGGATTCTATTTATTGTGAGAAGCCGGCGTAAACGATTACGTTTCACTCACGGCAATATAATTTTTTAGCTTCATTGAATTACTATGACGTAACTGGAGAAAAGATATTATTTGATGACCATTTCTCGCAATTTTTGAGAATAATATTGCCATTAAAATGATCCATCGTGGATAACAGGCTAAGCAGGAGTTTAATCACTGAAATTAGACCCACAGAGCCAACAAATGTATTAAAATAAAGGCACAGAAGGACAAGAAAATAAACATTTCTCGTCTGAAATCTTTGACAATAGAAGACGAAACAAGTTTGATAATACTGACCCAAACAAGCACTGTGAGCTAAACGAAAGCTGAACTACCCGAAAGTAGACGAGCATCAGTTCACAAATCGTACAATGGGAAATGTGTTGATGAAGAACTTCCCGATTTCGGGAGCTAAACGAAAGATGAACTACCCGAAAGTAGACGAGCATCAGTTCACAAATCGTACAATGGGAAATGTGTTGATGAAGAACTTCCCAATTTCGAAGCTGCGAATGCTGCGCGACAGGAAGAACTCACTTCAGCCGCTGTGAGACTGCACAGCCCACACGCCTGCCGCGCTACTTTACATTCCACGCGCTAGAGAACGCTAGTCGCACAAATATTCGCAGATCAAATAAACTAAATTAATGAGGTCTTGGAATGGGGGGAACACCGTCATATGTAGCGAGCGTGAAACATAACGGGCCTACACGTTGGCTACAGCATCATCAAAGAGTAATAACCTGAAAATAAACCGATTTATTAAGTGCATAAATGAATTTAATTATGGTATCATGGCTTATGGTGACATGGCTTCTAAGCGTTGAAACGTGACCAGATGTCACTTGTGCCGGATTAACGAAGAAACTTTGAAGACGATTCTACAACGTCAATGACTATGGACAAAATTTACTTTTATTCTGTTTGTCTCATCTGATTTGCTGTCTCATCTAAGTAGTTGTAAAAATAAAATGTAGACTAATTTCCAATCACCAAAAATATGAATTTGTGTTAGAAATACTTGGAGTGAAAAAAAATTCTGTATGTTTAAAACGTCGACAATCCATCAAGTGAAAAAAGTTAACGAAACAAATAATATAATTAATCACGTAGAAATGTGAGAAATTGAACGCCAATACCTGACGCAACTTTAAGATACAACGCAAAAATTATTTGTAAAAAAGGCCTTCGAGTTGCCATTTGAAGCGTTCAGCTGCCACGTTGATATCAGGCCTAAGCGGGACCAGCGGCAACACTTCAATGGCGTGAGATATGTGAGAACGAACGCGTGAACAAGCCCCTGTCAACTAAACAAATATTTCAGCGTTTATTCAAACCGATAGCAAGTCCAGAATTCATGCTCCAATTCGACGTCCTACTTAACAGTAGAACACTAACATCATTGTTCGAGGAAGGAAAGAGCTACTAATGTGTCAAAGCAATTATTCCCACGAAACAAATCATCTTACTGGTGAGTTACACAATCACAGGGGATGTTTAAAACATAGAAAGGTAAATATAATTAAAATTAATCAAAGTTAGGCATAGTTTAGTGTCCACAGGTCATAGAACAAACTCAGCGTGTCTGCTAAAATTTATCAGGAAAATAGCAGATACGTTGGCTCAAGGCGCGGCCTAGACGCAATACAAGGAGAGCCAGCTTTTATTGGAGGTTTCCTTTTGCAGAACGCAAGCAATTGAACCAATTGGATAAACAGCCGCGCGAGTGCAGTGAAGTGAATCCAGTCAGGATTGACGTCGATGTTGACATTTTAGTGTGACGTATCTGCGCAGAACTTGCCACACAAATGTGTAGGCGGAAAAGTCCTCTGATTTACGTTCTAATTTTGAATCAACACGCGTGTTCGAATAATTTTACCGAAAATATTCATATTCTTTAGGATACGCCTCAATTTGGATTAGAAATTAAGACCATGCATGCATTGTTTGGTTTGTAACTTAAATTGCAACATCTCAACACTGAAGCATTGATGGTTTTCCTTAATATAGATTACAGAATAAATGACCGACTTTGTTGAAAATTGAGCGAAAGGACAGCATGGCCAATTAGAAATATCTCTTAACACTACAACACGAGGAATATTAGCTCAAAATTACAGCGCTCACTTGGAAAATGTCAATAAAAGTACAGGATTATGTGACGAAATGCGAAACGTGATGCTGCATTTAACGTCGCATTCCGGAGCCCAGACTGTGGGTGAACAGTCAAACAACCCAGCAACTTTGTTTAGTAAACGTTGTTGTAACGCACATACAAACGTTCTTGTAACGCACACACAATACGAAACTCGACACAGCAACGCTATGACTTGCAAAGCATGAGGAAATTCAGCAACATACAGTATGACTCGTCCACAAATCTGCCACGAGAGCTAGAAAGGCTTTACTAATAACCAGAGTTTGATTCCAACAAAATTGAACAGTACGTCAAGAGAGGCAGCAGCAATTGTTAGCCAATACAAAGGCTAAAATATCGTTGGGCAAGTCACGACTGTTTTGCAAAAAAAATTCAACAACACACATGTTGATTCGGAAAAGTCATGCTGGCTTAAATCTGAAAAAATATAACTCAGTACTCACTGCAGTGAGTGACAGAGAGCGCATTTTCTCGTCGACGAAAACGTGGTCACGGACGGACGGACAGATAGACGGACGGACACTACGAGCACAATAGCGCCTTTTTTCCATAAATGAGAAAATGCGCTAAAAATATCACTTTTATTTGGATACAGTAGAAGCCTACCTAAGACATAAAAGCTAGTCTCACAACAAACAGTCATGCAGAAATACTCCAAAATAAAATATCAAAATTAAAGTATGGGAATGTCTTTGGATGAATCTATCCAAAGTGGAACAAATTAGCAGCACTGCTCGCTATACGAACTTAATGAATAAATCAAGCGAAAAATTCCAATCCAAGTGACGGCACAAGAAACAATGTACGATAATTGGAAGTGATAATGATTATTTTCGTTATGAGCCAGCACACAGAATCATTTGAGATAAACGTTAGTCTACCTCGATCGTAATTATAACTAAATACGGAATATATTGAGATATAAAATTTTGTTGGATTCGAAATCAGACTGAAATGGTCGCTAGGAAGAGTTTTCCTTGTCAGGTGAAGAAGCAAGGTGAGTAATACCTCCAAAGTAGTCAGCAGGAACCATCAAGGTCATTAAATGCAAAGCTGGCAGAAAAGTCGCATGATACACGTAAATCACGAGCGAACATTGCCAACTGAATCTCTCATAAGTGGAAAAATCCTGATTTCCTAACACGTCTTATATTAGCCAAAATATTTAAAAACTGTGATATGAGCAGCGATTTTGGATATGCTTATTGTCCCTAGTCTGGCAGCAGGAACAAATATATATTACAATTCAAATAACATAATACTTCTCATTTACATGCCGCGTTAGGAGAGACAGGGTGAGCACTAAATCGCACCGGTGACGTGTCTAGCCTGGCGCCGCGCCAGACGCGCATTATTTGCAGTACAATTCGTTTTAACTTCACTTCGTTCGAATATGGCAGATCTCCTAATCGCTGCTTTAGAGATGATTAAGCTTTATTTGCTAGTCATAGCTCTCCCATTAGTGATTATATAGCAATGTATAATACATCAGGCTATAAATATATCATACTTCAGGCAAAAAAAAGTTTTCTAGATATTATTGTTAGTAAGCCAAAAGGCCTCATCGGCGGGAAAGTTAAGGAAAGTCCTGAATTCTTTCCTTGGTGTAAGAACTGTGGCGCCTAACTCAGGCCATACAAAGAATAGTTAATCGGTTAGTTAAGTACTATGCGTAAGTTTATTAGTAACGAATTATATTATAATTATCAGAGATAATTTCAAACGACACTCGCGTAAGTGGGAGTGTCAATAGTTAACCGCGCACGTAAACGTGTTAAGATTTTCAAAAGTCGAGACAGTTAAGGCAGCATCGTTTGATTGCAATTTCTTCCAAATGCAAATAAATATGAAAATATCAGCTTCGCGAACACTGCGACACTCGGCAATAATTAATTAATCCTGCATAAACATTTTGTGCATCATCATCAAAATTGCAAACCGAACAAACAGAACATTAGGAGATATTTCTAAACGGTGATTGTGAGAAGCTGTCGACAGGTCTTGAACAACAAAAATGTTTTCTGAAAATGAATGCCAGATCAGCAACTTTGGTATGAAAATAACATTATAGTTTATAGGCACTGTCAGCATTCTGATATGAAGGCATTCTTCTCGGAGAAAACAACCGTTAGCAATGGTGCTTGGCTTGATTTTCCACTTGAGTAATTAACTAAGAAATATTTATATCCGTAGTTCGAAAATACAACGATGCCCAGAAACGATGATTAAAATGTTTAACAATAAAGTTTGAGTAAAATACTTAAGGGGGGTATACCCTCCAGAAAAACTTCCACATTTACTAACGGATCTTTCTGATACTTCACACATATATGTAAAACCGAAATACAAGCACATTTTGTTCGTATGATTTTTTCGGAAAAAAATAGAAAACGTGAAATTCATAGAAAACGGACAAAAAGGGAGTAATTTAAAAATCTATCTCCTCCTAGAGTTTTAAGCTACAGCGATGAGACATATGGCATTCGATTTGTAAAGACCATACCTATCGAGCCCTTTTTTTATTTTTACCTTAGTTTTTTTTACACGCATTTTTCCGTCTTCGCATTTTTTTCTCATTTTCTTCAAATTTTCCCCCCTCCCCCCCTTTTGAATCCAAACTATGCACAAATGTAAAAAAAGGGCTCGATAACTCGATAGTTATGGTCTTTACGAATCGAATGGTATATGTCTCATTGCTGTAGCATCAAAACTACCTATAGGAGGAGATAGGTTTGCCGTGACATTAAGTGTGAATGTTCAGTAGAGCGCGACAAAGTCCCGCGCGCATCGCAATATAGGCACTCAATGTAGCAAGGATACGAAACTAAACGTTACTGGAGCTTGATTCCAGTCAAGGATGGTGGGAGCGGCTGCATGCACATCTCCTCATACGACGCCAGGCGGGTTACTGAGCTGCACCTCAAACACTGTATTTAAAGTGCTGGGCAGCGAATTACCTCCTATCTTATTTGTTAAAGAAGTCCCCCACCCTACCCCATATCATGATCTGTCGTGAACGCATAAATCAATGTACAGAGATGGCAATGGTACCGTTGGATAGGGCAGAATGTCAGCTTTAAGATGAGACTAAAAACCGGAAAAGCCAAATCCGAAAACTTTAGGGCATACCCCCCCCCTTAATACTTATTGTTAATTAATATAAAAATTTACACAAACTACCTACATTAAAAAATGTACGGTAAGACTCAAATTTACATTTTAAGTACAAAAAATACATTCAAAGACTTAGAAACATGAGGTGATTAAGAGAATCTTCTGCTCGTACAAGCAGCCAAGGAAGGCGTGCGCTTACAGTTTGGTGAGTTGCGGCAGGTTGAGATGGGCAGGCAGATGCGTGAGGTCGTTGCGGGACACGTCCAGCTGTACTAAGTTGCCCACTCCGTCCAACTCATTCCCGATCCTCTTGAGAGCGTTGTCGCGTCTGTACCATACACAGTGATAACATAATAATATTGTCTGTATACCATACATAGCAATAACATAATAATATTGTCTGTACCATACACAGTGATAACATAATAATATTGTCTGTAACATACATAGTAATAACATAATAATATTGTCTCTACCATACGTAGTAATACCATAATAATATTGTCTGTACCATACATAGTGATAACATAATAATATCGTCTGTACCATACATAGTAATAGCATAATAATATTGTCTCTACCATACATAGTAATAGCATAATAATATTGTCTCTACCATACATAGTAATAACATAATAATATCGTCGTTGACGAATAGGATGGGCTGGCCTATCGCCGAGTTATACTTTAGTGTGGAAGGTAAGGTGCAGGTCACGTGAGTGCAGGCTACCACAACAAGAGTTACACTTTCGGTTTGGTAGGCGCAGAGTCGATCACTGAGTACAGCCTACGGAGTCAGTATTTAAATTGAACAAACATTAACAAGTTGCAAAGCTTTAGGTTATTTCTCTGCATGAAAAAGCTCAAATAACAACAAACAAATGAAAAAGAATCATGAAGCATTACATCCGAAATTACAACCAGGCTTGTCACATTCCCTCAATAGAGCGCCCCGCACATGTATACGTGCGCCTGGATACGTGAAACGTGCGCCTGGATACGTGAAACGTGCACCTGGATACGTGAAACGTGCGCCTGGATACGCGAAACGTGCGCTTGGAAACGTGAAAAGTGCGCCTGGATACGTGAAACGTGCGCCTGGATACGTGAAACGTGCGCCTGGATACGCGAAACGTGCGCTTGGAAACGTGAAAAGTGCGCCTGGATACGTGAAACGTGCGCCTGGATATGTGAAACGTGCGCCTGGATACGTGAAACGTGCGCCTGGAAACGTGAAACGTGCGCCTGGATACGTAAAACGTGCGCCTGGATACGTGGATTATCTTCACTCACAGGGAAAGACGCGTCAGGGAAGGCAGGACGCCGAGGTCAGGCAAGTGTATCAGGCCAAGCTTCTGGAGGTCTCTGTAACAAGGCAAATTACAAACATAAATGTTGGAAGCAGTGATGTACTAATATACCTATATGATCGTTACTAATATTTAATCTAACAAGAAAATGTTTATGCAGATGGTAACAGCCAATTTTAAGGCCACACTGAGAAGAGCATCAAAATTTAACGTTCAAATCGCTACAAATACTTGTTCATCATGACACATTTTTCAGAAAGACAAAGAAAATTCACTAATCTTAGGGAAATACCATAGAAATTCATTATTTCTACAGGTTTTTTAAAAAAATATAAACAAACATGTTTTTTCTACAAATGCACAAACGTGGGGCTTGCAACAAAGATCCTTTTTAGCCTCTGATTAATTATAGATTATATCTCACAATTATATAATAAGAGGGTAATTTTACATCGTGCAATAAAATTGATGGAACGCATCCATAAGCAAATCGTAAACATCATCGATGGCAAAAATACCAGTGATGTCGAGAAGATAAAGCGTAATATTGAATCACGATATGGCATTGCCAGACTAAATATATTATATAAAAATGCATACATATCTCTTCCATACCAAAATGGATTGTGAGAATATTAGGAAGGCAGGAATTTTTCGCAAAGAAGAGAGAGACGGCAAAGTTGCTGGCAAAGGAAGGAAGCGACCGAAGAGTCGGTGCAAAACTGTTCCCCCTAACGGATCAATACTAAAGGTCTGACCGTCAGGGGCGCCTAACCCTCGTCGCCCCCTAACTTAAATGAACTACACCATGAACAGCGGCAGTCGCAGTGCCTTGCAGTTACGTTGCAAGCAAAACTCGCCACACCCTCGAACCAGTCGGTACAACAACAATACGGAAAATGAGTTACGCACCCTCGAACCAGTTGGTGCAACAACAATACGGAATGAGTTAGTTCCATGATTGAGCTGAATTTTCACGTTAAGGCAGACGAATTAATTCGTATCTATACTTAGCAATTTGTTGTAAGCTTGACTTCCCGTAGCCATTATAGAAAAGCCAGTCTTGCGAGCATCGTAACTGCCTCACACTTGCATAAGCTTGAACGCGATCATGCTTATAGCATTACGACCGTCTTACTATCATTTTAGCATTCAAATGTAAATATTAATAGTTAGGTTACGAGTAGACATTTAATGATAATTTCATGATCAAGATGAATTGTCTGGTGGAAGCAGTGAAGCGGCAGCAGCATCAGCCGACAAGCAGCAAGCGACAAGCAGCAAGCGACAAGCAGCAAGCGACAAGCAGCAAGCGACAAGCAGCAAGCGACAAGCAGCAAGCGACAAGCTGCAGCCGACAAGCAGCAAGCGACAAGCAGCAAGCGACAAGCAACAGCCGACAAGCAGCAAGCGACAAGCAGCAAACGACAAGCTGCAGCCGACAAGCAGCAGCGACAAGCAGCAAACGACAAGCAGCAGCCGACAAGCAGCAAGCAACGAGCAGCAGGAGCGTCGTATAAGAAGTTGAGCAGACGGCACGCAGTCTGCGGTCATGAGAGGAGTGGGGGCGGCGCAGAGATGAAGAGGAGGGAGCAAGAGAGAGGGAGAAGTTAATGACACGCTCGCAGCTACGAGGGACCGACAAAATAAGGGAGCAGTCGAAAATGACGGCATTCCGGGGCCGCCTCAGCCTGCCGCCATGGTGGCTAGAGTTCTTCTTCTCTTGACTGCGTCATAAGTTAAGTTCAATGACTCGGTTAACACTATGGAGCTCATGAAATATAATAGAAGACAAACGAATAGAAACTTCTAATCTTTGTGTATTCAAAAATTTACAATAAAAATATTGTTGTGAAAATTTATTATCTCATACTTATAGTGAAATTTTAAATTGGTAGCCCTTGTCTCTCGAGCTTGTGGTGTATCTTGTTCTATCTTCGACGAAAGTTTTTATGGAAAATCTTTAATAAAATGGCCAATAACCTATCAATATATGCCGCTAGTGAGCACATTCATAGGATCAGATGCCGACAGTTGATGTCTCCATTATTCAATGCAGTTTTGCTATACTCGTCATTTGCTACATAAAATCATAGTAATCTTTCGCACCACCAAACAACAATTTTCCCTAAACCTTTGGTTATATTTAAAAGAAGAGATTGTTCGCTGGACGTTCATTTATTGAGAATGAATGTTACGACTGTTCGAGATATCTTGAGGATGAAGATGCATCAGATAAATTCATCAGATAAATTTTGTGTTCTCGTTGTGGTATAAATCTGTTCTCATCAACAAACCTAGGAAGAAGAAAGCCCAATTAATATTCTGAATGATCGTGTTTAAGTGAAGAAACGTTTTAGAACTAAATACGTCAAGCCGTAACGAGGCCACTGGCCAGTGATAGCACGGAAAATGTACTTATAGCAATCAAAAAATTAAAAATTCGTTCATTCGTGAATGAACGAATCCTAAAAAAGCGGCATTCACATGCGACAACTTGTGCAATGGCACGTAATACCAACATCAATGTTTTATGAACGTTCATTTCTCAGGGCACGAGTACCTAACTCAGTGTACCAGACTTTTGCAGATAAAAATAAATACACTTGTGAGCTGATCTTTTTTGCTCGTTCCTGGAAGCCTTGTTCAAACTTTTTGAAGTTTAATTGTGCTCAGTTCCCAATGGAAGTACACTGTTAGAAAAAACGGCGAAAAAACGGTCCCACTGGCATTCTAGTGGCCGGTCGCCCCGTAAAAATAAACTCTTTCGCCGTTTTTATCTGATGTTTTACGGATTTCTAGTGTTAAATTAAAATAAAAACGACGACACGGTGTTTCTTTTCACGTGCCGACCGGCCACTGAAACGCCGGTAATACCGTTAACGATAATTTTTCTAACAGTGTAAAGAGATGGAAATCGATGTACTGTAAACTTAACGTGGATTTAAATAACATTACGGCAACCAAGCGCAGCTGCTGCTGCATCAACAGGGAAAATAAGAGGCGGCAGCGACGCTCCTTGACTGATTCTATCGACCGGCACAGCGCGATGCTTGGAAGAAGCTTCCGCACGCACACCACACAGCCTGCACACACAGTGCCGGCACACCACACAGCCTGCACACACAGCGCCGGCACACCACACAGCCTGCACACACAATGCCGGCACACCACACAGCCTGCACACACAGTGCCGGCACACTACACAGCCTGCACACACAGTGCCGGCACACCACACAGCCTGCACACACAGTGCCGGCACACCGCACAGCCTGCACACACAGTGCCGGCACACCACACAGCCTGCACACAGTGCCGGCACACCACACAGCCTACACACACAGTGCCGGGACACCACACAGCCCACACAGGTGCTGGTTCACTATACAGTTGTTGTGGTTCCCGGCCTCATTTTTACAAGAGACCCCCTTCACTATACAGTTCACTATACAGTTGTTGTGATATGTGGCCAAGTTTGGCTAGAGCCGCTAGACTTTAGCAAAGTTGATATCGTCTTATTTTTCTTACAAAAATTGTACGTTGTCCACAAATGCAATGTGTGACATCATCTGCAATACTCACAAGAATGTGAGGCGAGTCAGCGACGGCAGAGCGCTGCCCGTCAGGTCCAGTCCAGGATTCTTCCCAAGTTTCCTGCGAACAAAAAGAATGCCAATCAACCAATCGAGAATTAGAATACAACGCAGAGGTTCTAAATATATAAACGAATCATTTTTAACAAAAAATTGTGGATAGAATGCAAAGTGGAGTGGAGTTGTTGGAGTTCCGATTATGTCGACACTTAATATATCAGCAAGAAGCTGGTTTATCACTTTAATAGGATATGGTATCGTGCTTCGCCGTGCATTGTACGAGCAAAACTCCTACACAGTAATCGCTGGACAGTTTCGTCAGGATCGATGATACGCAGTACGCCAGTCACGAGGGTGCAAGACAGGTGAGGGTAATTGCCTTCCCTCACGCGCACTTCACCAGCTCTAGAGGGCTGAGGAACGCCCTCGAACGCGCCAGGCTACACTTTCAAAACTCGCTAAGTTAACGTAAGTACTTACGCTCTATTTTCTTGTCTATGATTGGTGGATTTTACTTGAAAGGCCGTCAATGATTGGCTGATGAACTTACGATCTCATAACTTTTTTTGAAAGTATGGCCCCACTGGTGTTGTTGCACCATGAACATCGTCTCTTATATGTATTTACAACAATGCACAACATAGAGTATGTGCGCAAATGCATGTACAATATGGCGTTACAAATGCTGCTGCGCTATTTACAACGGCTAGCATTTATAAACAGGAATTTCATACGGGTCCGCAAAAACATTTCGACCAGAGAAATCCAATTCAGTACCTACACGATTACCTTATAATGCAGCTAGACTAAGAACGTCACGTAAACGCACACGCAGAATAAATCGAGTGTGGAGAAGCGAATGCGGAAGCAACATGGAATGTTTGCATCAACAATCTTCTGAATAAACGACAAATTAAGGGATAAGAATTAAATTTACATGAAAGTTGATGAGAGGATGAACGTAAGTAAAGGAATGATACATTTTTACGAGAACTATATCATATTTATAGTTTGTGATGAAAAAAATTGCTAGATAAAACATCGACTTACTGTCTTGCCACATTACTCGATGTGTTCAAGTTTTAGAACGGCGTCAGGATAATATAAATTTAGACGTACAGCTTATTGTAGAACTATACCGGTTATAGTAGTCCTTGGACAATCCTGTTGAGCTCCAGAAAACGAAAATATTTATTTTGAATTTTCTCCACGTAATCAAAGACGAGTACAAAAAACATATAATTCACCCTGATGAAATTATAACTCGATATACCGAAGGAATAATTTCGTCTACTCCTTTAGATGAAATGCAGAAGATGTTGATATTGGATCATTTATGTTCCACTAAAACATTAGGAGTTGACTAACATTTGACCAACCATACTTGCAAAGAAACGACTCAATTAGCAGGTATATAATTGGATGAATTACATAGAGTTTAAAGGAGCATAAATGTCGTTCAAAAACTTTTCGTTGGGCCAACATTGAAGTAGTAGCGAGAAGTAGGACTTGGTAAGGTTGTTATCCGAGTCCAAGGAGAGATAAGAATAACAGAGCAGTCATTGACAGTTTATTGTGATAAGATATTGTGACGGTCGCAGCACCTCACACCTGCAAGTGGCGGTCGTATACGGGGAATCCTGTCACACCGCAGTAATTTTTCCTCTTGTATTGAAATGAGATAAATATTCAGGAGTGAATAATCTGGCGCTGTAACCGCGTTAATTTATTCTGGGAAATTAGGCGATGAAGAAGCTGGAATTGTGAGAGGGCGATATAGCTGGGACGACCAACTGTATAAGGGCTTACCAACTAAACTAAGACAGTTATCGCACTCATTTCTAAGAATGTCTTAGAAATGAATGTCTCATTTCTCGCACTAAGACATTTTCTCGCAACATGGGGACCCGAGAAGCCGCTGAAACATAGCACATGCAGAATATATATTTCAACACAGAAATTAGGGACCGATGGGAGGACCTATTGCGTCGTGGGGGTATTTATTATCGCACTGCAAATGCAGAATAGCATCACAGACGAGTTAGCCTACCGAAATTGGAGCAATTCATTAATTGGTTCCTGTGACCCCAGAATTTGGATTTTGATTCAATTGCAATTGTAATATAGTAACTTCAAAATTCACGCGATATTATTCTGAGGTAGATTGGTGATTGAGGGACATAGTTCCCTATGTGTTCTAAATCAGTCGAAGGATTCATTATGTGACTTTCTTCAATTACATCAGTATTGTATTGGGCAGCGGACTGGATTACCAGGAAACATTGGAATAACTAAATCGTACAATTAACCCGTTACAGCAGTCGGAACCAAACAAACATAAGTTTTTCAATGGACAATAAAAATTTCTTCTGCAATTCGTTCTATCATTCAGATTTTTACTCATGGGACTTACACGCTCATTCGTACAAATGATATGATACATAATACAGCATTTTGTATGAGAAGGTTATTATGTACGAAGAAGCGGAAATATAGCGCGCGCTTATAGAACACAAGGAATAAGAGAGCACTTTATATGGACGTTCTACAGGGAAAAGGCGCGCGACCACAAGTAATCAGGAAAACAGTTTCGAAACGTAAGAAATAAACATGGATATAGTTAAGTTAGCTCGAGTTTTAACGCCATCATTTATCATGTACAAAAATTATGGGAAATAATTCAAGTAATGAGGATAAAGTAGCAGTAATTGCCACAATGCAATTGAACATCCATAATAATGATGTTTGTAGTACGCATAAAATAATATATAATTACGCGTTAGTAACAAGATAAGAAAACATTATCAGATATGAGCTTCTACATGCATGCAGGTGCAGATAACATGCACGCAGGTGCCGTACATGAAGGTGTTTTTCAATGCAGTCAATATAGAATTTATGACAGCATTTCAAAAAGCCAGATAATCAGAAGCACAGAATGCAGAACAACTTTTCAAGAAACATTCGCATCGCATACGTGATATAATATTCGAATCCTTTAACCCATTTGGGGTTGCATCAAATCTATATATATATACCTATATCACTTTACCTAAACTTCTAAAAATTTGACTTCAAAAGTCACAGGCTTGTCTGTCGATATTTTGAACCTTAAGTCTATTTCTGTTCTCGGACCTATCTGTTCTATTTCTGTTCATTAGATAATTTATAGGTTCTCAATTTTGCCACTATTCGGGCCGCATTGAGCTGTTCGCGGTCAGGCTGCACGAACTGAAGTCGTATCAGTAGTTAGTGAACTTCGAAGCAATGTTGGTACAATTCTCTCGCAACATTCGAGTCTCGTCTCCTTAGCTAGTCATCACTATTTTTACCATTGCCGCGTTTTGGCGACGATGGGCGAATCTCACGATGCTTGCTAAATCCTTTGTGATGTTTCCAGGTAATTAATTAAACGTATAGAAGACAAAATCTGATATGAAACAAAAATATTAAGCGATGAATAAGCCATCGCCACGAAATTCTCGTCTGAGAAAATATTTTGTATGTAATTTCATTTGCAGATAAGTCATGTCCTACATACCAGTAGCACCCGATTTGATAAAGGTTATTTTTAAAAATTCAAAAATGCTGCTATACAACCGACTCTTGCGCTTCTCGTCTTTGATACAAGATAAGGATTACAAAAATTGAAAGTGATGCTCAGATAGGCTTTCCCAAGTACATTATAGTTATCCGTCAAAGACCTTTAGAATTATAGTTATCCGTAATACATTATAGTATGACGTATACATTAGTATACATTATAGTTATCCGTCAAAGACCTTTAGAAATGCGTCGCTTCACTGAAGTAATATTAATTTTGTAGCAAGCATTCTGGTTGCATTTGTAACTTGAAAGATGCTGAAACAGTAATTTGAGACACTGCAATTTAAAAGCGAGTACACCAATTTTTAATGGTTTCAAGAATTTCTACTGAGGACTTGCAGCAATCGAACTCAAGACCGAAAAAAATTGACTAGGTACCGTAGCCATTTCATTAATAGTTATCATGTTCTACTGTCAGAAAGAAGTAATAGATTACAAGGTTGAAATCTAAAATTAGTTAACAAGTCTACAAAATTAGTTCACATTGGCATAACTACATATACCGTAATATACTCTAACTGCATATTAGGAACGTGAGAAAAGGTCAACGCGCATGGTATCTCTTCAAATTTTGTTCATTATTTTTGTTATCAAAGTTCTCGCATATTAAACAGTGATCATAGCGTAATAGATGAGCAGTAACAGAACAGACGAATGTTGCTCAGGTTAACTCAAGGCCATTACACACTTGAGGACATGACAAGTTACAGTGCAATCATGTATCTAAATATGAACACAGCATGAATTATAGACTAATTATAGGTTGAGCGGTGAATGATTAATAAACTTGAATCAAAATAGTATCAATTTACTCTTCATCTTGTTCGTAGTTAACGAGATGTTAAGTTTTCTAATCGATAACGAGACGACAACTTAGCAGCCGTTGAACAGATCACGAGTCGTGAATGTCAGTGGGCAAACAACTACACCGCACTCCTTGCTTGTCAAACAAGCGTTAGAATTGACAATTTTATGGCCTACGCATTTGGGCAGAAGATCTAACGACTCGAGTCATTGGTTCGTTTGTGTGAAGACGACGATGGTGAAGACTCTTGATGGCGACGTGCTGATGGTTTTGATGACATGTTGACGAGCACATGACCACATAACACGTCACATGTTGACGAGCACATGACCACATAACACGTCACATGTTGACGAGCACATGACCACATAACACGTCACATGTTGACGAACGTCTGACCACATGTCACTGCGCAAGGCGTGCACCAGCACACCGGTAACGTGACACGAAATATGCGGCAAGGTAATAAATCCCCCACGAAGTTCCAGTCATTTGGTCGCAATTAAACGAGGTATATGCACGTGAGTAACGTATACTAAACACACACGTCGATAAAATCAAATTTAAACGGATTAAGATAAAATAAGCAGAATGCCGTCTAATAGAAAGCAAGTGAATTGGTTGCCAATTGAATTCATACGCAAGTCATC